GGAGTCGTTTTCCAAACCAAGCAAAGTCATTTCACTAAGCAGCGACTGTTCAGATTCTTGTCACCATCAATAATGTTTTCCAAGAGCTTTGTGTAGATGTGGCTCTGGACTCACAAAGAGGGGAAAAAAAACTTTTTTAGGAAAAGGAAACAACATCCAGTTCCTGTTTCTTCCTTCGACTACTGCTGTGTTCCTAGCAGGATGGAGACTGTTAATATGCTGGAGCCTCTTTTCATCATCCCCTCTCCAAACAGTCTGTTTTTTGTAGTATAGAGTGAGACAGGCAGACATTAAAGAGACAGATAGGGAGAGAGCAAGAACTGACACTTTAGACAGTATGTATCTAATTAGAAGCCTGGATCGATGTACAGCCCTTCTCTCTACCTTTCTTTCTGCTGTTGGCTCTGTCAATTCATCTGTGCTGTGGTCAGGACAGAGTCCTGCTGTGAGCCTCCCACAACCCCAGGTTTCTTTTCAGCACTATAGCCAGGCTGACAAAGAGCCACAGTGCTGTTGAGCTTAACATTCCCTTAGATCTCAGCAGCAATGACTTCATGAGCTTCTTTACAAATAAAATCACAACTATTAGAGAAAAAATTGGTCGGACCACTCCCACAGCTCTCGCAGATGTGCCATCTACTACAATGGCTTTAGAAACATCTGTAAGACCTCATTTATACTTGGACTACTTCTCCCCTTGTAGATCTCTCTGAGTTGATCTCAACAATTGCTTCATCTAAATCATCAACATGTCTCCTGGACCCCATCCCGACCACGCTGCTCAAAGACGTCTTTCCCCTAATCAACACATCCATACTAGATCTGATTAACCTCTCTCTATTAACAGGTTATGCTCCACGGGCTTTTAAACTTGCAGTAATTAAACCTCGACTCAAAAAGCCTACTCTTGACCCAGGTGTCCTAGCTAATTATAGACCAATAGCCAATCTCCCATTTATTTCCAAAATCCTTGAAAAAGCTGTTGCAAAGCAGTTATGTGACCACTTGCACAAGAATGATTTGTTTGAGGATGTTCAGTCAGGATTTAGAGTCCATCATAGTACAAAAACCGCATTGGTGAAAGTCACCAATGATCTTCTCCTAGCCTCGGACAAAGGACTCGTCTCCATACTTGTCCTCTTAGATCTCAGTGCTGCTTTTGACACCATTGATCACAGCATCTTACTGCAGAGACTTGAACAGGTTATTGGGATTAAAGGAACTGCACTAAGTTGGTTCAAAGCTTATTTATCAGAAAGATCTCAATTTGTTCATGTTAATGATGAATGTTCCACACAAACTGAAGTTAGTCACGACATTCCACAGGGCTCTGTGTTAGGTCCAATCTCTTCACTTTATACATGCTCCCTTTAGGCAATATTATCAGGAAGCACAACATAAATTTCCATTGCTATGCAGATGATACTCAGTTATATTTATCTATGAAGCCAAATGAATCAGGTCAGCTGGTCAAACTTCAAGCATGTCTTAAAGACATAAAGGCCTGGATGACCTGCAACTTCTTACTTCTAAACTCTGACAAAACTGAAGTTATTGTGCTTGGGCCTGAAAACCTTAGAAATCTGCTGTCTAATCATATAGTTACTTTAATTGACATAGCTCTTTCCTCCAGTACTACTGTGAGGAACCTTGGAGTCATCTTTGATCAGAATATGTCCTTTAAATCACACATAAACCAAGTCTCTAGATCCGCCTTCTTTCACCTGTGCAATATTGCAAAAATCAGGAGCATCCTGTCTCAAAGTGATGCTGAAAAACTGGTCCATGCATTTGTTACCTCCAGGCTGGACTACTGTAACTCTTTACTATCAGGATGTCCCAATAATTCCCTAAAAAGCCTCCAGTTAATCCAAAATGCTGCAGCCAGAGTACTGACAGGAACTAGCAAGAGAGATCATATCTCTCCCATATTAGCTTCTCTCCACTGGCTCCCTGTGAAATTCAGAATAGAATTTAAAATCCTTTTCCTAACATACAAAGCCCTTAATTACAAGGCTCCATCGTATCTTAAAGACCTCATAGAGCTTCATCACAACAAAGCACTTTGCTCTCAGGTTTACTTGTGGTTCCTAGAGTCCACAGAAGCAGAATGGGAGGCAGAGCCTTTAGCTATGAAGCTCCTCTCCTATGGAACCAACTCCCAGTCTCAGTTCGGGAGGCAGACACCCTCTCTACCTTTAAGATTAGACTTAAGACGTTCCTTTTTGATAAAGCTTATAGTTAGGGCTGGATCAGATGACCCTGAGCCTTCCCTTAGTTATGCTGCTATAGGCCTAGGCTGCTGGGGGGCCCATGATGCTCTGAGTTTCTTTCCCTTCCCCTCCTGCTCTCCTCTCCTCCTTCCCCTCTCCTCTCTCTCCCTATGCTTCTATATGCCACCATTACACATTACTAACTTTGTGTCTCCTCTCTCCCATAATGTGTCCTCTCCCTCTCTTTGCACCTTTCTGCAGGTTGCCCTGGCCCTGGAGCTCTATGTCTCTGACGAGCAGTCACCAGCCACATCGACCTGCTCAGTGTTTGATTGTTGTGTCTTGTTGCTTTTCTTCTTTTGTCTCTCCTCTATCCACTCACCGCAACCGGTCGAGGCAGAAGGCCGCCCACCAAGAGCCGGGGTCTGTCGGAGGTTTCTTCCGTTAAAGGAAGTTTTTCCTCCCCACTGTCGCCAAGTGCTTGCTCAAGGGGGATTTGTTGGGTTTTCCCTATGTTATAATAGTGATAACAGTAAGGTCTAGACTTTACTTTGTAAAGTGTCCTGAGATGACTTTTGTTGTGATTTGGCGCTATACAAATAAAATTTGATTTGAGTTGAATCAATAGAACCAGGGTTTCACAGAGCAAGGAGGGGGTAGCCCAATTCAAAGGGTCCCTTCTGCCACAAAGGGACCTCATTAAGGCCGAGCTTACAGACATTAATAAGCTACAGATAAACCTTTAGTTTGCCATGCCTTACCATCTGCTCTGAGGTTGATTTTTTTATTTTGTCCACCAAGGAATGAAATGGATAATGACAAGGAGACATTTTATCCCTTTTCTCTTATCAGTGGCAAGAATGAAAAACATAAAATAAGCAGGGTCTCATCCCGCACCGCTTCTGTCTTTTCTTGGTGTATGTATGGATTCTTTTACATGCAGATATGGCACAACTTGGCTACACTCGCTGCTCTTAGTGAACGCTAACATGCAAGGGGCAGTGCTGAGGAGACTTGGCAGAGATAACTGTCTCCTTCTTCTCTGTCCTTCTCCAGGGCTGGATATAATACTGGACCCTCTCGGAGGATCAGACACCCATAAGGCCTACAACCTGCTGAAGCCTATGGGCAAACTTATTACATACGGTAAGTTAAAAAAAGCAAACTGTTATCTGAGAATTCATCGACACAGCGATGTTTGAAGCAGTTCTATCTGAATGCTGCGTGATACAACACAACAGCTTTCTAAACAATAAGCGTTAACACAAGTAAATTTGTTTAATGTGTTCAACCTGGAAGAAAAAAAAAACTCTCCAATCACTGCAGTTTCCTGCACAGCATAATCAGATTCAGAAGCACTTTTATGAGCCAAGTCAAACAAAACACACGCTTCAACTTCCCCAGGCAAACATCTAGTAATTAACAAGACTTCACGTGATGCTTGTCTCCAGCCTGTATCTACTTCCAACCAAGCTTTTCCAGATTATATTTATTTTTTACCACAGGTTACCAGAATGTCTTATGTAATACCTAAAACCAAGCATGCGTTTTAAGCTTGTTGCAAGCGCTGCACAGCACAGTAGGAATCACTACAGTCATATAACAAGTAATGACCAGCTGCCTGCCCAAGCTAGTAGCTATCAACAGAAATGAACATGAACATGAACATATTCCTACTGGAGCTCATCAGATGCAGATTATAATATTATGAGATCTTTACTCAGTTACAACTCATATAAGCTTGCATGTGATTTTCTGTAAATATTGCTGCAGTTTATGACAAAATAAACATTAGGAATATTTGTAGAATTGCAGCTGCTTTGGACTGAAAATATGACAATAAGCCGCTACAACAACATTAAGTCATTTAATACACTGCATAAAATATTGGTGTGTTTCCACACTTGCCACAGAATGAAGCTGCTTCCTGGTGGGCAGCATGACCCCTCTGTAGAGGGCCATGTCCCCAGTGTGCTGTGTATCACCCATGGGAAGGCGTTTACGCTAGCTCTGTTGCAGTGCCAATGTAGAACCAGCATGTATGCAACAGTGGGCGAGGTCGGCATCCGTCGAGAACAGGGCTTTGCTTTTGCATGCTGTACAAAAAACCACTACCCCCCACCCTCGCCCATTCACCCTCTCTCATCCTTCCAGAACCCTCCAGTCCCGCCCCACCCTCCCAGTCCCTTAATGCTGCCTGCTTCTCTTCTAGCGTATTAGAAATACGCACAGCAGGACAATGGGTGTTTTATCCACACAAAACCTGGAATGTGTCTCAGTGTAGCAGGCTGAGTTCCTTTCTCCTCTCAGAGCATGCTTTGTGCCCCCTGGTTCCCCCCAGGGGGGGAGAGACAGTGAGAGCAGGAGCCTGTGTGAACACAGGAGGAGGGGTTAGGACGGAGATGTGATGACAGCGGGCGCTGAAGTGCTAAAGAGGTTTTCAGGGTGTAGGTGAGAGTGTGATTGTACGGAGGAAATTATAAACCAGAACTAATGCGTAGAGGCACCTGACGGGGCTTATTGTGCTTAATGAATTCTATTATTGTTGTCAATAATTGTTTAGCCTATAAATATCATAAAATTGGAAAAAATGAAAAGCATCATCAGGTGAGGTCTTCACATTGTATTTTTTTTTTTTTTTTCAACCAGCAAAATTTCTTAGATATTCAGTTTAAAATTTAATAAACGATTTCAAATATGAATTGGATACATTGGTTAGTTATTTTTAATCAAATAAATAATCAGTGATCAGGTGTGGGCAAAGTGGGTAAGGTCAGAGGAAAAGAGAGAAAGTGGAAGTGAAGACAGATCATTTGCTCAGTGAATTGATTGCTCACAGGAATTTAGAAATGTATTTGTCCTACAGAGAAACACATGCACACACTCTCTTTTATAGACTCTCTCTCCCAGGCAATAAAGATTTAGGCTATTTCTCTCCTTCTACATTTTTGCTTCTCAGGTGCAGCTAATATGCTGGCAGGACAGAAGAAAAACCTAATTGCCGTGGCCAAGAACTGGTACCACCAATTCTCCATCCACACGCTCAGTCTGATCCAGGGAAACAAGTCCGTGTGCGGCTTCCACCTAGGCTACCTTGACGGTGAGACGGAACTCATCACCGAGACCATGAATACCATTTTGGATCTCTACAAGCTGGGCAAGATCAAGCCCCGCATTGACTCCACTTGGCATCTTGAGCAGGTCCGTGTTTATCTGTTCCCCATTTACACATGGAATTATCATTTGTCTTGTAAGCAGGGTGTGCTTGGACTGATTACAGTCTCTACATTATATGGCCTAAAAATAATGCTTAATGTCACATTATCTTAATGTTTTTGTGACTCAGGCTGGGGGTGGATATGAGGATATACTGTGAGATGATATTTTGCTATGCTGCTTGAACCAAAATATCATTTATTATCCCTGGTTATATTAAGCTATTAGACATAGTGTTATAAATCACTGAGCAGGCCTGCTTTATGGCCATAGTGGATTTACAGAATGTTTACATTAATATGATGTTTGTAATAGTGTCTTTAATTACTTAATTCACTCCAGTGGCCAAAACAGACATGTTCATCTATTAACTTAATGCAAACTCACAATATACATCTCTCTGTATTCTGTTTGTATCAGATTTGTATAGGTATGGTTGTTAGTGTGACTAAATCATCACTGCTCACCTCAGCTGGAAAGATCAGATGATCTACTGGGACAATTGTCTGTTTATACCTGAATTACATGGATTTTTTATGACATTAAAACACAGTCACCAAGAATAAATGTGAATGCCAGGTGGGTCTGTGTGTTCTGTAAGGGGAAACTGTAGGAGCCGAGTGTGGCCCCAGATTCAGTAAGACTCACATTCATCTGTTAAAGTTGGTCAACAAGAACCTCTGTGTCTCTTCTAGCGTAACTCACTCAGCCAGACAAAGTCAGATTGTCAGTGACAAAATTAACACTGCTAGCAGATATGAATAGAGAGAGTGTGAAAATCATGGAGAGAAAGGGAGTCAGAGGCTGACATCTTCTGTTGTCAAAGTCAGAACTGGTCAGTATTTTGGCCTGTGTGCGTGTGGTCAGAGAGAAACACCCGATGTCTTTCTCCGCCATCTGACGCTCTTTCTCTGCCTCTCCATCTGCCTGCTCTTTATATCCCACTCTTTCACTTTGTCTTTAGCTTACTGACTCCGTCTCTGTCTGTCTCTCATCTCTGTGTTCTCTCCTTCTCCCTCCTCTCAGTGTATCTTTTCTGCTTTTTCTTTCTTGTTGCCATGGTGACATCCTTTAGTCAGTGTGTGCGTCTGTCTTAGGGAGGGGCTCTAATGTATGAGAAAGAGACATGGAAGGAGCATGGAAAAACGGAGCAGAGAAGAAGGTGTATCTCAGTCTGGCTCAGTGTGTGATGTTTTTAGTGAACGTCTTCAAACGCTAACGCTACTGCTTGTAGCATTAGAGTCAGTAGTGCAATAGTTAATCAAATTTTTGATTGATTTTTGCAAACCGGGCACAAATGCCACGCCCTGACCCCATCCATCACAGCCTTTCCTTCACTGTCACTTTTCATTTTCGCTTCAGCAATCATTAAATTTGGTTGGGCAGTATTTGGAGATGATCATTTTTCCTCCCTCCTGGTTTTTCTCTCAATTGATGATCTACATTTGCACTGATACCCAAGAGGATAATGGTCATATCTGTAGCTGCAAAACAGCACACTCCAGTCCGAGAGAGTGAAGGGTGGAAGTGGGTGGAGTCATCAAAAGAGCCTCAGTCGATGTCGGCGTGACTTTCATTCACATTGAAGATGATTCTTATAATTCCCGGACTCCTCCTCCACCCCCACCCCCTTCAGTTTGAATGAGGCATGTTCCTCATCTGAAGGACACCAGTTGCTCCCTCTGTCCCCTCCTCCCCATCCCTCCTCCTCAAACTCCCACACTCCCCCTCTTTCCCATGTGTCTGAGTTGTCAGGGCCACGTTTCAGCCGGGCTTTACGTTGCTAGGAGATGGCCCTGTTGCCGTGGCATTGGTCGTTAGGTGGTCTGCCTGCCTTGCAGGAATAGGGGGATGGGAGGAAGCAGGGAGGGGGTAGTGATGCAGACAGTGGACAGAGTTGGTGGTCAGGAGGAGGGTGGGGCTGCTCTGACTGGGATATTCCTCGCATCATTATGATTGACGGTCAGTGGTATCAAATCATCTTTGGGTAGGGTTTTCACTGTCTGCACATGAGTGTGTGACACCCAAAAGTGAAATGACTTGCTGACTGATTTCAGCTTTTATTTAACAACTAAACCACATTATGGTTGCCTTGACAAGTTTTCTAAAGGTAGTATTAAGTATAACAACTAAATTTGAACTTCCGTTGTATTGGCCTTATTAGTGAGCCTTCCCAATGAAAAGAAAGTCAAATCAACTAAAGTTGAGTTACAACATCACTTTGCATGAGTCATAACATAAGCATACAATTTAGTCCTTATTGAAATCCAGCACCTTGCAGTGGAACAAGAACAAGACTAGGACTGAATCAGGGTCCCAGAACCACAATTACCCCCAGAGGAAACATTGGAGAAGCCTCATGCTCATTTATTTATGCCCTTAATGTAAAATCCACAATGAACAGTTTAACAAAACTACAACACTAGCAGCTTTGTAAACCTGGATTTAGCCACAGTATTGCTTTGAGCTAAATGCTAATCTGAGTGTGCTAACATACTGTATATGCTAGTTTATGTTTGTATGCTAATATTTGTTAATTGGCACAAAACAAGGTGCAGCTGATGCTGATGGAAAGGTTGTCAGTTTAGCAGGTTCGTTCATAAACCAGATTGAAGACAATTATCCTGAGGGGGCCATGGATGTCTGTACCAAATGTTATGGCAGTCTATCCAGTAGTTTTGGAGATATTTCAATCAAACCACAAATGTGAACCTAGGGGAAAAGTCAGAAGATCACCAAACTCATTAGGATGTATTCTTTGTGTACCTTCAATGTCTATACAAATCAGTGAGTTTGTGGCAATCGATCCTAAAGTTACAGTGATACCACAAAAGTGGCGGGCCTGGCTAACATCACTAGAGCTGCTAGCATGGTTAAAAATATTTTTCTGATTGAACAATATGTCTCAGCAGCATTTGGGTATTTCATAAAATAATGAACAAACCCATGGCTTACAGTTTCCCTCAAACAAACTCACATTCCGCTTCATCTCTATTTATTTTCTACTTGTAAATATTTTGTTATTTTTTTGGTTTGTTTGCTGTATACTGCTACAACAATCTCATTTCCTCTCAAAGATTAATAAAATCTTGTGTAAACAAGTGTAATTTCACATACACTGCATATTAAAGTAATATTTGGGAGCTGTATGTGTGGAAGATTTGTTTCTAGTCAAAAGAGAAGATTAGAAGCTTCTCAAAAATGAGTGTTTAAAGTCCCTTCTTTCACCTTTGCTCTTTTATATTCCCTTACATAAATGATTGCTCCTTTCGTCTCCTTTAGGTGGGTGATGCCATGAGAAAGATGCAAGAGAGGAACAACATTGGCAAAGTCATTCTCACCACAGAGCCGATGCCCGAGGAGGAGAAGAAGGAGGAGCCCAAAAAGGAGGACAAGAAAGAGGACAAGAAGAAGGAGGACAAGAAGAAAGATGACAAGAAGAAGGACGATGGTAAGAAGGAGGAGAAGAAGGATGACAAGAAGAAAGAAGAGGCCAAGAAGGAGGAGAAGGAAGAAGAGAAGAAGGAAGAGGCAAAGAAGGAGGAGAAGTGAGAGAGATGGATGGGTAGTCAAGCAGACCAGCAGGGAGTTTGTGTCCTGGGAGCAGGGGTTGATGTGTGGGATGAAGGGGTGGGGGGAGGGATGGGGATGGATGAGGTTGGGAAGGTGGGGGTGGAGGGTAGTCAGAAGGGTAAATTACAAAAATCATCACACCACTGTCAGTTTCTCATCTCTTCCACCTCTCTCTTGAGTCCACAGTGGCAGTGATTACTCAGGCCTGGCTACACCCACCCCACTCCCATCTCGTTTTCTTGTCTCTATCTAAAAAAGCAAAACACAACATTCCGATCATCTGTAACACCTTGTAAGCGCCAAATTTAGTTCTCTGCCTAACAAGAAAACAGCTGCAACATTTGAAAGATTTTTCCTGTTTGAGAATGACAGGACAAGAAAGCCATGGAGGGTTGTGGGCAGGGTCCAGGCCTGGGGCAAATTACTGTTTCCCTGACAACCGTAATCCCCTCTCGCACTACGACCCCACCCTCGACCCCCCAAGTCCCTCCGCACCTCAACTCCCACTGTGCTAAATTGTTCTGCTTTGACTTCCACCTGCCACCTCCTGCCCCCCACCCCGCCCCCACTTTGCTGAGTCCCTCCTCAATCTACCCACAGGCCAGACTCACAGATAGGCACAAAGACGGGCAGATAATCGAAGAACCACACCCACCCACACATTGCTCTCTTAGTGTCCAATGCTTAGTTATGTCACTGAGGATGAGTCAGAAATGCCTGTGATTGGCTGATACACCCCACCTCCCCTGGAGATATTTGCATCATGGTTTTGATCATAATGTCTGACTACTCAGATAATGGTGCTAATGCTGCAAGGCCTAACACTACTTATTATTTATCTGGCCTTAGATTGGATTTAGCAAGCATCAGTTATCATTTGTGGCAGGGGAAACAGCTCTACACTGCATGTGTTTCCACTTAATTTCAGTGAAGTTAATACAGTGGCTGCTTTGCACTTGCCTGAATATGAATTTCCCTCATAATGACCCTTTCTGTGCAATGTTGAATAGGGAGGCAGAAAGCATTGCTCAGCTTCCTTCTCCTTAGTTACTGATTTTTCTAGCTGACCAACTGTTGGCAAGAAGTGGATAGTGCCAATTAAGAGAGATTTTGTTTCTGTTCAAACAAGCCACAAATGCACACACATACACACACACAAACATATCCACTCTGGATGTGAAGAAAGACGCACTGTCACGCTGAGACAGTGGCGCGTCTGAAATGAGTTAAGAAGGTGAATACCAGTTCTTTCTCCTCAGGATCAGGCTTTTATTCCTCCCTGGTCCTCCTGGAAGCATTCCACAGCATTCTGCTCCTTTCACAGCGGCTGCTCGCCTGCCGATCACTCTGACCAAAGAGGAGAATTCAGTTCAAGCTGGTGTCCATACTTCACCTCCCCTCCCTCTCTCTGCTCTACTCTCTCTCTCCCTCCCTCCTCTTCCCGTTTCCCTCTCTATCGTCGGCATAGCAACAGGCGTCAGGATCATCAGAGAAGGCACTGTGGTTTGTTTTTCTGACTGCCTCTCCCTGCATCTCTCTGCCTCTCTAACTCTGTATTTGCCAACAGTCGGTGTTGCTGATCAGTGTTTCAACAGGTGTAAAATGTATACATTTGAAATAATTAAATGAGGAGGAGAAGCAGTTTTCATTCTTGTTACTAATCCCCTACCAAAATGTTTTTTAATCAATCTGAATTTTAGATGTAATATTGACAATGTGTGCAGTTAGCAGTACGGTGACTAAAATGGTGCACCACTCCCCCTAACTGAGCAGTATGAATTTTGTCTGGCTACTGTCATGTTTTAAATCTAAATCCCACTAAATCACTGATGTAGGCGGATGATCGACTTTAAAATTTAGACATTTATCTACCTGCCTGCCAGTCTGCCTGCCTGTGAGTATGGTCTCAATGTTGAGATTCAGATGGTGGATAGTAACTTTGTAAAAAACAAACACAAAATGTTTAAATAAAAAAAGAAAGAAAGAAAAAAAGTTGTTGTGTTAGCATGAGAGGCCTCCCTCATGTGCTGTGTGTGGTGTGCCATTGTGTGTGAAGATGTGTGTGTCCTCAGGTTGTTTGCCAGGTTTTAAAAGCACCCACCTTCCCCCTGCCATATTTGCCCCCCACACTACTCTGCTACAATATTATGTAGCTCCAACCCTCCCTTCTTTCTCTCTGTTTCTCTCTCTCTCTCTCTGTCTGTCTGATAAGAGGCATGTGTTATGAGGACAGTTGGTATTAGTATTTTGCACTCTGCTCGCTGATTTTAATGCATTTACAACCATGGCAGTTGCACTCCAGTCCCATGTGAGATTTGATTGGGCTCCAGGTTTGCAGCTTGTTTCCCATCATCCACTCCCAGCATATCTGCTTAAGCTCACTGAAAGCACAGGTGGCACACACACACACACACGCACACATGCTCACGTAAAGGTCCTCACCCAACATTTCCAGGTTGCCAGTCCCTTCCCAGGCCAATTTCTCTTGGGTGGCAGCTAAAGCATTCATCCATCCTAGAGTGTGGGAAGTAAAACATGGAGCTGGGGAAGGTGAACTGGGCTGGAGTGTGACCGCCATGCTGGTGTGAGGAGTGACTGTGTCTTGTCAGCCTCTGGTTAGTGTTCTGTTCTAATCTGCTGGGCTCCCTTTGTGAACCTGTGGAAGGTGCTTCTGTTCCGAGTGCCATGTGAGAAACAAACGCTTCACACGAAAAAAAAAAAGGATGTTTTACTTAATGTTATTTTGATTTACCTTTATATTTTCAGTTGTTTGTTTGTTTTGTTATGCAAGGGTTTAAAGTTCAAAGTTCATACTCTTTATGTGGGGACCTGCCAACCTGCACTCCTCTTAAATGTGATGAAGTCTTTCTGTTGGTCTGAACCATGTGTGCCAAATTGTATGTATATTCCTCTGTCCATGCTTTGAATTGTAATAGTGCATAAAAATCTGAAGAAAATGAAGACAATTTTGTTTTCGGATGCATTTCCATTAACCTTGAAGAAAAATGAAAACACAAGAGTTGTCGGTGTGTCAGATTTGTATCCCATATGCGCATGGGTGCGGAAAGGATTTCTGTTGCAGTTTACAAAGGGTTGAATACAATTTGTAGTTTTTGATTGGTTGCAGTCTTGCTCAAGTGTAGGCCTGAAGTGTCTGCTTTTCTCCTTGGACATAGCTGACCTCTGAGGCGCCTCGTCCATATTGATATCCTTTTTACTGTGTGTTACCAGCTCTTGCATCATGTCTGTTGCAACAGGTTGATTTATTACCTGCGTGTTTACAACCACAGTATGAGTATCACAGTAAATAAGAACTTAACAGGTTGCATTTAATATTAAAAAGTCTACCAAAAGACATAGATTCACAGCTATCTGAAGAATTCATCTAAATCCAAAGCTCCATCGTATTCCTCTTCAGTTTGTTTCCAAATGACTTGTATAGCAATTGAGAGAGCATGTGTTTTCATGCAGCTGTACAGGGGTACCATTACTTTAATACAGCTGCACAAAACCCCAGCTTATTGGCTGAGCATAGCTTGGCTCAGGCCTGCCCCAGACACAACATTTCCGTTTTACAGCTGAGCTCAGTTCACTCAAGGATTATTAGTCGTTCCCCTTTTCCTGTGCTGTATCTGCAGAGCCTCTTGGCTTATGTAACAGTCACAGTCCAGCAGCACCCAGCCAAAATGCCTCTCCATATTGACCTCTTCTTCCTCCATACACATTCGTAGTGAATAAAACATTAGTTTGACATCTGGAATTTCAAATCACATGCATTCGCCAGCATGTGGAAAACAGATAATATTTTCTTTTCTTTCAACATTTTCCCCATGGTTCTTTTAGGCTAAGATGCCTTTGAAGTGAACTCGGTATGGTGGGGGTTTCATGTCCGGGACTGGGATTCAAATGGTTGGTTAAACTCCTTCCTACTTTGGCCTTATGCCCGAAAGCTTTTCCACTATGGTGATGCAGTGTATGTCATCTTGAAATGGTTTCCCAGTCATTCCAGAAACTTATGCAAGAGTACTTAGCAGCTCAGAGATGCATGGGGGAAAAAAAAAGTTTTTCAAAGTAAAAATAAACTGGTAATTTTCGGAACATTTACAGTTTACAATTTGACATCACTAATGAATGCTCAAGGTTTAAGGTCTGAAAAGTACAATAAGACAGAGTATAGCATTTCCAAAGCACCTTTCCAGTCTATGCTTGGCACCCACCTTTAAGCTGTATTTCTCTTTTTAATATGGTTTCACAGATCATTCAAAACTGCAGTTTTCCTCATATAAGAAATCACTTAACTTTCATTTAGCAACAAACACCACAGAATTCTGTTTCGCCCAGTTCACCACACAAACTGTCGCACCAATTTTCCTTCAAGGCGTCCATACTTGATGTAAGCTTTAGTATTGCGAGTCAAAAAGAGAGGCTATGTCAGTGGGTCATTTTCATATTCAGAGCCACTTTGTTCACTCATCCACACTGAGAACCCAAACAGTCACATCTGCCTGTAGCTACTGTTTCCTTATCAGTCATTTTGAAAAGAGTCCAATGCGATAACATCACAGCAACATTGCAGAGATGTTAAGAAAGTACAACCTGACTGGGCTTGTCATGTACAGTACAAAGATGCATGTTTAGTCCACCAGAAAATACGGCACGTGTGTATGTACTGCTATATCGTCTTTCTTGCCCTTCCAGTCATCTCAAACTGCCAGCTGAAGCTGTCCCACCTGACTCCCTTCTGCATAGGCACTGTCGTGGTCAGCTGGTATATTCATGATACACCTTAGCCTGCCTCTGGGAATGCTTCAGAAACTCGCTTCACATTCATCCTGCTATACACCTCTTGCCAGAGTTCAACCACCACTGGTCATTTTCTAAAAGACATACTCAACAGGTTGACTTCTAAGCTAGTACTCATCTACTCCGTCCTTCCTTGCGTTTTTGTTTTTTCTTCTCGCCTCGACTTTGTTTTTTAAACCCTTTGAATTGATGCTGCTTCTGTGCTTGACTCTGGGTTTACTGCGTGGTGCCATGTTGTCCACATGGCCTCTACAGCTTGTAACGCTTCAGTGTGTAATGTTACCATATGCCTTACATGTTTTCCAGGACTAATAAAAAAAGCATAACAAAAAAAAATCAGATGTGCTTTTTTATTTCTGGGCACATTGTGAACGAAACACTGAAGAGAGTAAAAAAGAGGCAGATAAAATCATTAATTTTACTACCCAATATTCTACAAATATCTTTGTTTTTCCTAAAATAGATTACTCTTAAAACCATAAAGAACAATGCAAAATGTATATTAATGCAGTATAATCAAACTGTAGAGTATAAAATAGGATTTTTTCTTAATAAAGATGCTCAGTAAGAAAGTGTTCAAGAATATAATACAAAAGTAAAATGGTGGTTGGTCACACATTTTGAAAAACCCAAACCATCTATCTTAAAGAAATCAATGGTGAGGCAGGTTATAAAATTAAAACATCCAAAATAGCTGCAATACTATGTATTGTGTATAAACAATTTCAGTTTCTTCATACAACATCAAATATCATTAACGTGCTAAAACAGAGCAGTATAATCTGGTATAACCTCAACATATACATACAGTACAATTGGTTCTAACCACAAAATAGATTTTATATAAAACTACATAACAATTTCTTCTCTCTTTTTTATTTTTCTTGAGATTTGGCTGCTGGCTCTTAAATCCCATGGTGTGTTAAAGCTACAGACAAGCGGTCCAAGTAAGTGGAATCTGGGTACCCATTCCTGGAAGAGACAAAAGGAAGACAATTTATCTCAGATACATGGACTCATATTTGTGACCTACAGCCCTGTTAGATCTTCCAAAGGGCCTCACTCACCCTGATTTGCCTCCGTGTATGCTGGTCTTATGTGGGATGCAGTCCCAGGCGACCTTGGCCCCTGTCTCTTTGCCTGTCACTGTGAAGGTGAGTCCCTGCCTGAAGGCTCTGTCCAACCTGGGCAGCAACTTCCTTGATTTCTCGCAGTCTGGAAGGTAAGCTTCAAATATCCCTCCTTGAAATGGTTTTCCAGGAGATGGGTGACCCTCCTGGTATGATGGAAAGCAAAGAACAGTCATTAACAAAGTCTCTAAATATTACCATGCATAAGCTAGGTCCTGTGATATACTGGCACATTAGCAGCACCCTGCAAAGAGAATTTGCAAATGCAATCTGTTTTATGCTAATATGACATTTGACAGTAAACAACCATGTGCTGCCTGGTGCTTACAAATCACAGTAGATCTAGAAACATAAGCAGGATGGTAACAGGAATTGTAATTTCTCACATTATAAATAAAAATATATAAATTGTGCAGTGTTACTTCCAGAGCAACATAAATCAGAACGGGCCCCTCTGAAGGGTCTTAAGTTTCTTGACATTGTGCAGGAGTCAATTACAACACAAGTAAAACTTATTTTACAAGGTTTAATGTGCTTGTACTTAACTATTGTGTAATAAAGAGTCTGAACAAAATGTTTCTGTCAAGAGATAAAGTCCTGAAAACAATAAAAAAGCAAAGATTTTTTTTTTGTACTAAAACTGATGTACAATAACCAAAGACTGTAACTGACCAGCCAGCGTCTTGTGCCTTTCATCTGTTGTCCCTACTGAGATGAAAGCTCAGTACATTCTGTCTTTATTTATTTATACAATAATTCTCAGTAAGAATATTTTTAAAATGAAACTCTCACCACTTGGATACCATCAGGAATGAGGTAAGTGATCTTGACAGCAGAGTCCTTTTTGTGGCCTGGTACACTGATGTTTAGTTTGGAGTAGCTCATTTTGCCCTGGATGCCTTGTGGTGTCAGCTCCGTCTCATGACAGACTCTGCAGTGAAAATGCACTGTGTCCAAACACTTGGAGCACATGCTTACCCCACACTTAGTTCTTATAATCGACGTCCCAGTCTCCCCACACACACAGATGCCCCCCAGGTCTCCATGACCTGACCTTGATTCCCTTGGACTGTCCAGATTCTCTGCTGCTTTTCGCTGTATACTGTCCTTTGGAGTACGATTCCCTTGGACTGTTCTGGATCTCTGCTGTTTTTCGCTGTATACTGTCCTTTGGAGTAGAATGTATGGTTCTCTCGTTCTTATGAAGGCTCACATCTTTATCAGTGTGGGTTGTTGTTGACCCAACACCATTCACACGTCTTGCGCTTCTGTCACTTCCTATTGTAGAGTGATTGACAAATGTCTCAGTCTTGTGTCCATCCATCTCCAATGTACCTATCATTTTCACTTTCTCTTTAATGACAGGATCTTTGCTCACTAATGTTTGGTTAATAGACCCATTCACAAGCTCTGTCTCATGAAAGTCACTTCTGTGGTTTGTTTTCCTTTCCTGACCACTTCCAGTCTCACTTGCTTTGGCTGTTTGGCTCTCTAGCATCACCTGGGGATTACTGTTGCAGTGCACACTGGTAATTTGGTCATCATTCATTTGTGACAATGTGGCCAGATTCCTGTTGGAGATAGAGGTGCTAGAGAAGGCCTGTTGTTCAGGAATTTTGGTCATATCTCCAGAAAAAACCTCCCGCAGTACAGCATCTACCTGAGAACACAGCACTTTTGGACCAAGAAGATATAACCTCTTTTTCAATATCTGAATGGAAACCTTCTTGAAGCGGCTACGCACCTCATCACAACAAGCCTGTAAAGTTTCATTTGCTGGATCAGTGATGCCGAGCTCTGACAAGCACAGCTCCTGCACAGAGAAGTCTGTATTAACTGAATCAACCAGCTTCTGTAAATTGAGCTGACATGAACTCACTGTGGATGAATCTGCCCCTCTTAAGCTGACAGTCACATCAGCACTGCCTTCTGGGTGGCTCTCTTTCATCTGGACATCAGAAGTCAGGTCGTCCACTCGGGTCCTGTAGGCTTCTTTTATGTACTGCCACATGACTGAGGAAACTCTGATCTCTCCATTATAGACTTCCCGCTTGTCCTTCCCTGTTTGGGTACTGAAGCTGGTAGACCTGCCCCTTGCTCTTACTGTTGACTTGCTGTAGTCATCTTGACTCTTATGACCCATAACCTGAGCCTTCTGCTGAGGTGTTCCTGAGAAACTACTGGCTCGCTTCAAGGGGGATCCAGACACTGAGGGTGGTGTAGTGCTTCCTGACAAACTGGACTGAGTAGTGCTGAGGGGGGATGTTAAATTCTTGGGTCGAGTATCCATTACGTTTGAGTTCAGGGAAGTTTTTTTCTGCATAAAGGCAGATGAAGGCAAAGTGTCACCACTCTTAAACAAGATGTCCCCTCCAGTGTTTTGAGCTAATGCTGTGGAGGCTCTTTCACCAGAAATCCCTGCTTTATCTGATAGAACATCATGCCCTAAGACTGGCCCAAGGCGTGTTTGCCTACTAGGAGAAAAAACCCCTCGTAAGTCAGTTGGTCGACTGCTTAATGCTGCTAGTCCTGAATCCTTAAACCGAGCTGCTAATTTATACCTTCTAGCTCCATCAGCTTTCCTTTCATCTTCATCTGACATCAGCATGTGATCTATCCTTTCATCTGGAGATCCTTCAGGGGAGAAGGTGGTGATGGAGACTCTCTCCTCATCAGCAGGAGATGATGAACTCAAATCATATGACGGATATCTAAGAAGACTGTATACATCCTCTTTTTTACTCCTCACTTGGCTGTGGTCGAGAAGAAGGAATTGCTTGGCTTCAGACACATCACCACTGTTCCCAATAATGTAAATATATCTGTCGTCTTCGTTCAGAAGAAGCTTGGGAAGTCGGACACTTAAGTTCTCCATCGCTCTTTGCAGCCCATCCCTGGACAGGATACACTTAGGAAGCTGAGCTCGACGGGTCTTGGCCTCATTCTCCTGGTAAAGCCTACTTATTGCCTTTTTTGCCAAATTCAGGTGCTCTCTACCAACCCCATCCACTCCTGTTGCAACCTGTAAGAACAGAGTAGTCAACCCCTGGTTTGTCATATCCACCACCTCAACACCATACTGACTGAGGATATGCTGATATTCCTTCTGGCAGTGTCTCTGCAGATACTGAAACATATCAGCATCTACAATTAGTGAGAAGTCCTCCTCTGACTCTGAAGGACGCCCTGGAAGCTCCACAGCTGCACCCTCTGTCCGGCCAGTATCTTCCCAGCCACTCGGTGTCAGGTCTCTAGGAGTGCGTAAACTGTAGTCGTCATAGGTTGTGCCAGTGTGAGCTCTGCCTCTTTGTTCTCTTTGCTTGTTAGGTTTCTTGCTCTGATCTTCTGACTCCTGAGTATGAGGCTTCTGATCAGGCTGGAAGCCACTCAGAACAGATTGACGTGAGCCTTTGTTTTCTGCTGATTGCTGGCCTCCAGAATGGCCAAGTAATTGTGCCAAGGCAGCCTGGACTTTGGAGTAGGCGCCACACAATATATAGAATTTTTTAGTAACATCATAGTTTATCTGGACTTCAGGGTGGCTCATATGAAGGCTTGTCAATGCCGGTTTTCCCCCAGGAAGCTGTCTGTAGTCAACAGTTGCTGATAAACTTAAGATGACCTATAAATATAGAAGGAGAGAGACAAGAAATACTTATGGATTTTACTGTATATTCAATATTTGTTTACATATTTTCCAACATTCTAGTTAAATATACCTTGTCTGGGTCCAGACTCTTGTGATGCTCAGTTACAGTGAGTTTATACTTCTTCCCATCCACTTCCAGAATGTGCCGGCCATGCTGAATAACGCTCTGTGCCACTGTGAGAGAGAGGTCACCAGAGGGGAATCAATCTCAGTCTGTGTAGCATCCTGACTGTGCACTTTTACTATTGGCCACTCCGCTGACCTGCGTGCCAACAGTCCAGCTCAGAGTAAATTACTAGTGACAGCTGACATAGCGCAATAACTTGCTATTACTTTGCAAATGACTGGACTAAATTTTGGAGTCTTTAGAGTGAAGGTTAACAAAACATTTATGTTGTCATGAGACCTGTAGCTAATATAATGATATAGTCAATAGTATTTTAACATCCAAGTGTCTGCGATAGAATCAGTTACTTTCATATGCACAGACATGCATATTCCCTGGATAGTATTTTAACATCCAAGTGTCTGCAATAGAATGAGTTAAATATTCAGAAAAATCCTCATCCCCTATACCTCATATGCACAGACATGCATATTCCCTGACTTTACTGACCTCCACTGTCCTCGAATGTGATGAGGGCAGAGCCGGGCGTTGCCTTGACAATAGTGACAGTCTCTATTTCCCCTCCTCCATTCCTGGTTCTCAGAAAGTGAATAAAAAGCTTGTCTTTCAGCTTGTCATCATCAGTGTCTGAGGGCAGACCACTCACCCTCACAGTCCTGCCCGGCTCTGCCATCTGCAGGGAGCAAGACAATTATTGCTGTAAAGGGGAAACTTAGTGTGTCTGCAAGACAGAAGTGCAGAAATCTCATGATTTAATAGAAATCGTGAGCGTGAACATCAACATGATGATAACAAAGGACAATGCACATCACCTATTTTAGAAGCTGTTCATGTTATTATCAGACAACCATACAAAGACCCCACCCTTGCAAACAGGAAGAGACATATTTGATAATATAACCCCCTCTATTGGGGGTTACTAGCACACTACATCAACATACTCAAAATTTTCCATTTCAACTGTCATCATCAATGAGACCTTTTCATTGAAATTCTGTGCAAATAATTCAGGCCCAAATTTATTAAAGTGTCTTCAGTATTACCTTGGAAGCTGGTTATGTACAGTAAAACAATGTCAGGCTAATACAGTGGCAGGCTTTCGAAACAGAGCTTTGATTTCATTAATGCAATAACTACTGAGAAATTTACTACGAATCCCTGAACACGTGATGCTAATTTTTGGTGCAAACCCCTTAGTGCAATGCAGTATGTAGCCTATATAAATGTGAAAATGGCAAATAACATGGACAGAATGTAACAGAAGCCCTGTGATTGACTGGCGACCTGTCCAGGGTGGACCCCGCCTCTCGTCCGATGTCAGCAGGGATTGGCTCCAACCTCCCCGCGACCCTCTTCAGGAATAAGCGGTATAGATAACAGATGGATGGAGAGTGACAGATGATTAAGTTAACGCCCCTTCCTCCCGCTCCCCACCCACAGTTTGCTGCTATCTTGATGGGGGCTAATTAACAAACAATAGACTACTCCAAAAATAGAATTTAGCTTGATGTTGCTAGTTGCTATGGATCTGTAACTGTAAGCTTATAATCAGTCGTGCTCCAGTCAAATTTGCAGCCAACCCGTAAGACATGCAAAGCATGTTGAATGTTTACTGCTACAGGATGTCATGTATGTAGACCCAAAAGGGGGAAGCCACATTGCAGAGCTGAGTGTCAAGGAAGTGAAAAAATCAAACACAATCTGCTTGTCACTCTATCTACGGATCTTGTGTTTTTGGCGCGACAACATTACTATCTGTCCCAAAACATCATGAATATGTTTCAGATTTGTAATCATTACTGACCTTACAAACGCGTCTGGTGCAGTTTCTCGCTATTTTTCAAAGACCGTCACACTTTTCAAGCCATGGAAGAAAAGTGAAACTACACAGTGTCGTGTGGTTTCTCATGTCCGCGCCAGGGGGCGGACACGCGCCATCCTGTTGCGTAGCTCATAGATGTTAACTATCTGTTTTCACCCACATACTGTACATTTGGCTCGTGTGTACATGTAAGCGAGTGGTTTATCTGCTACTCTATTACTTAAACAATAGATAATTCTTAAGGTACAGTCTGGTACAAGTGCAAAGCAACCAAAATGACTGCATATTTCAGTACTAAAATAAGCTTTTGAGAATAGTTGATATGACCAATCTTGGTCTAATAAATGCAGAATATAGCTATTGTATAGCATGTGAGAGACAAGCCGGCCAATAAAACCGAAAATAGGCTAAACAAGTCCCGCTTTCTAATTTAATATTATAACTTACAATTCCTGGCATTGCAGTTGTCCTACTTAATTATTTACATAAAATCGTTTTATTAAACGTCAGTGCTCCCTGCAGTGGTACAGCAACCTAAGTACATTTACTCAAGTAGAGCAGGTAGTACACTATAGTTTTAAGGTAAGCTACTTGTACTTTCCTTGAGCATTCCATATTAACCTACCTACTTAACTACATTTTAGAAATACTCTACTCCAGCACACTTATTTGATAGCTTTGGTTACCTTAAGAATCATATTATCAATACAAAATAATCAACTAATAAACTATTATGTAGGCTACATTATTAAAGTGGTTAAAATTTGCCCCACTTTTACCAGCAGCAACATAAGTGATGCTTAAAGCATAAAGTATTCTATTCCAATAATATAATATATTTTACATCTTTCTGAAACTGGTCATTCTCAAAATGAGTAGACTACTTTTACTTTTGGTAATTAGTAAGCTAGTAAATAAGCTGTAAGGATACGGAGTGGAAGCTGTTTCAGTATCTAAAGACTACAGTAGAGTTTATTTGTTTGTTTATTCAAATAACCCAGCAATCGATTAATCTTTCTAATATAGACCATAGAACAGTAGGTGGCAGTACATTATCATTACATTGAATGCTAATTACTTAGACACAAGTCATAGAAGAAGAAGAAGTCTGTCTTTTGTCCAATCACAGGCTACGTTGTTTCATCCACTGCGCAGGAGTTGTGGAGCAGATAGTTCATGTGTCTTCGTGTGTCGTGCTTGGTGGAGGTCACAGTCATCAGAGCAAAACTGGGGTAAGTTACGATATGTAGTTTGTTTGTGTGGTTGAAATACTTAATTTCATAATGATAACTACGCAGCGAGAAGGAGACGTATACATATATATGAGTAGCATATCACGTGTGTTCGGTACAGTTTTATGTTAATCGCTGTTCATTTTCATCAGCAAGAGACGACGAACGTGCGGACACCCAGCGTGCTAACGTTATTTGGACTTGGCTAACATAATCATTTAAATGTATCTTAGAAGTGAGATATTGATATGAGTACTTTACATGTCGGAACTCTTAAATTTCAGCGCTCGTTTCAGTCAGCTTAGCTTGCTGGCGGTCTCAGTCTCAGTTCACAGCTAGCTTGCAAGCTAATGCTAGCTAGTACGCTAAACCCACAGCCTTGGCACTCACTCAGTTCTAGGCCAAAGCAAACGGTTATTAGAAGGGGATTTAACCCGGCCTTCAAAAGACCATCACAAACGATTAAATGTTTTATATTCTGTAGGATTAATGATGGTATTGATGTGTACTAACACCTTCCTTTTCATTGCCTGCAGCTTGTTGTCATGGCCAAGCTATTTGAGACACTTGGGAAGTTGGGCTTGGCCCTGGCCATCGGAGGAGGCATTGTTAACTCTGCCCTTTTCAATGGTGAGTGCTACTTAGTTTGGCATGTAGCACATGACGAGAACTACAGTGCAGAAGATTGGTCTATTAATCTGCAGCTATTGTGATAACCAATTAATCGTTCAGTCATTTCCCCAAGAAATATAATGAAAGATTGTCAAATTACTATAATCTCTTAGAGCACAGTAATGGATTGCAAATATAGAAATACTCAAATGTCCAATATAATGCACCAGAGGTTTCAGGGGGATATTAAAACTAATTAATGCAAGGCAGCTGATGTTATGGTCACTTAATGTTAGCCTCATAATTTTATAGTTTATTCCTCTACTGTTTTTCATCTCCCCAGAAAATTCTATGTTCTGTATGTGCAATGTTTTAGTGTTAAGTTCATCAATGTATTTCCAAAGTAATGTCAGTAACATACCCCAGCTTAACCTACAATTTGAACTAGTCATGGTCAAAGGTTGGGAAAATATTTCTCTGGGTTCAAAAAACGGCCTCAACTATTGATGAACATTTTCAGTTTTTTTTTTCTGACTGATAATTGATGCTGGTTAACCGACAAGATTAAAAGGCTACTCTGTTTTAAATGGATGAGTGTCTGTGACTTATAACTTTAATATAATAGATTTTTTTACATGTGCAAAAATGGCATAAACAACATGAATTTGAACATCATCATAGCATCACACACCTGTGGAACTGTGAATAGGGTAAACCAGCCTAGTAAAATAGCTTTTGTGTGCTGCTGACTGGAGGCATTTTACGTTACTTTAGGGATGTTTGATGTTGTATTTGATATGGGCCATAAATGTTACCTTCTTTCAAAGTGTTGATCAAAGTAAAACAGACCACTCTGATAGCCTATATTTCTCTGAAAACTCCAGATACAGCAAAGACCTTAATTGTGCAAGTAAACCGTAGAACCGTAACTTCTGTTCTCAGGGAGAAGTGTAGGATAGAAATAGATGAGAGAGGGAGTGTCACACTTTTATTGTTTGAAATTTTAATTTGTATTTGCTTTTTATTATGATTGGAATTGATAGCCTCTAACTAAATCAAACATGATTTATTGATTATTTGGGACAACCTAAACTTCCAGGGGAAGGCAGTTCTCTTTTGGTGGACCTCTGAAGTTGTCCACCAGAAATATAATGAAAGATTGTCAAATTACTATAATCTCTTAGAGCACAGTAATGGATTGCAAATATAGAAATACTCAAATGTCCAATATAATGCACCAGAGGTTTCAGGGGGATATTAAAACTAATTAATGCAAGGCATCTGATGTTATGGTAGTTTTTAAATTCTGACTCTATGCTTTTGTATTGAGATATTGACAATACACTTAATGTTAGCCTCATAATAGTTTATTCCTCTACTGTTTTTCATCTCCCCAGAAAATTCTATGTTCTGTATGTGCAATGTTTTAGTGTTAAGTTCATCAATGTATTTCCAAAGTAATGTCAGTAACATACCCCAGCTTAACCTACAATTTGAACTAGTCATGGTCAAAGGTTGGGAAAATATTTCTCTGGGTTCAAAAAACGGCCTCAACTATTGATGAACATTTTCAGTTTTTTTTTTCTGACTGATAATTGATGCTGGTTAACCGACAAGATTAAAAGGCTACTCTGTTTTAAATGGATGAGTGTCTGTGACTTATAACTTTAATATAATAGATTTTTTTACATGTGCAAAAATGGCATAAACAACATGAATTTGAACATCATCATAGCATCACACACCTGTGGAACTGTGAATAGGGTAAACCAGCCTAGTAAAATAGCTTTTGTGTGCTGCTGACTGGAGGCATTTTACATTACTTTAGGGATGTGTGATGTTGTATTTGATATGGGCCATAAATGTTACCTTCTTTCAAAGTGTTGATCAAAGTAAAACAGACCACTCTGATAGCCTATATTTCTCTGAAAACTCCAGATACAGCAAAGACCTTAATTGTGCAAGTAAACCGTAGAACCGTAACTTCTGTTCTCAGGGAGAAGTGTAGGATAGAAATAGATGAGAGAGGGAGTGTCACACTTTTATTGTTTGAAATTTTAATTTGTACTTGCTTTTTATTATGATTGGAATTGATAGCCTCTAACTAAATCAAACATGATTTATTGATTATTTGGGACAACCTAAACTTCCAGGGGAAGGCAGTTCTCTTTTGGTGGACCTCTGAAGTTGTCCACCCTCTAGGCGAGACACAGCACATCTCATACCCATGGAGAGGGCAGAAAGAGTGCCGGCAGCTTGTGAGAAAAGAGTAAAATACAGAAATGCTGGTGTCTGATGAGCTTTACACCATGTCCCAGATGAGAGGATATGTTGGCCCTATAATCTGTTTTTCAGCAAACTGTTTGCTTTTTTTTTTTTAGAGTCTAACTGAGAGTATTAATCAATTCGAATTCTTATCGGTTAACTGTTAAATGGTTAAGGATGTGCATCCCTAGTCTTAACAGATGGTTTGACAGCCATAGTGTTATGAATTATGAAAACCTGTACCTTGTATACACAAACCTGGCAAACTAACTATCCTTCTTTCCACAGTTGATGCAGGCCATCGGGCTGTGATATTTAACAGGTTCAAAGGAGTCCAAGATGATGTTGCTGGTGAAGGGACCCATTTCCTCATTCCTTGGGTTCAGAAACCTATAATCTTTGATTGCCGATCCCGTCCACGCAATGTACCTGTCATCACAGGCAGCAAAGGTACATCATTCAAAGGCTAAACTGTTCCTCTGCTGTTTTCTGGTATTGTTAAGTTTTAACTCTCAAATCAGTAGACTGTATAGATTGTTTGAAGATACAACTAGCGTGAAATGTTTTATAAGGAGAGTAATATATAATCTGACAGGGTTAACATCCAAATGTAACGGGTATTTATGTTTACATTTGGCTACAGACTGTGCAAATATCTCCTAAGAATGAAAGTCTGTTGTCCATTCGAGGGATTAATCTGTGACAAACCTTTTCACTGTAGGCTAATATGTGCACTGCGGGTTACATTTTAATCACTCCCCCACAGACTTGCAGAATGTAAACATTACATTGCGTATCCTCTTCCGGCCGGTGACAAGTCAGCTGCCACGCATCTTCACCAGTATTGGTGAAGACTATGATGAGAGGGTGCTACCGTCCATCACCACAGAGGTCTTGAAGGCTGTAGTGGTGAGCATCAGATTGAGGTTCTGTTGTTGACAATGTGTGAACAAATGAACTTGTACATTACTGTGTAAGGCAATTTTTTATTTTTATTTATTTAATTTTTTTTCTCACAGGCTCGGTTTGACGCTGGTGAGCTCATTACCCAGAGAGAGCTCGTGTCTCGCCAGGTCAGTGAGGACCTGACAGAAAGAGCCTCCACCTTTGGCCTTATCTTGGATGATGTTTCGCTGGTATGAAGCTGGGGGCAAATGATGTCTGTGTTTGTAGTGATGTCTTGGTTATCATTTTGATGGGATTTTAACATGGAGAAACTACTGTAATGTGTCCTTTCAGACTCACTTAACTTTTGGAAAAGAATTCACAGAGGCTGTTGAGATGAAGCAGGTGGCCCAACAGGATGCTGAGAGGGCCCGTTTTGTTGTAGAAAAGGTATATTTTTCATGGTTTTTACATACAGGATATCCCTGTTATCTCAGTACTACAGGTGCATTTAAAATTTTGCATGCAGTCTCTATTGGGAAAAGTGGAAAGTTGAGTATTGGTAATCTTCCTTTTCATTCTTTAGGCAGAACAACAGAAGCAGGCTGCTATCATCTCAGCAGAGGGAGACTCTCAGGCTGCCTTGCTTATTGCCAACTCCCTAATGCAGGCTGGCGATGGTCTGGTAGAGCTACGCAAGCTGGAGGCAGCTGAGGATATCGCTTTCCAGCTCTCCCGCGCCCGCAATGTCACCTACCTGCCCTCAGGACAGGGCACATTACTCCAGTTGCCCCAGTGATAGCAGCTCACCCCTTTTCAACCCCACACTCGCTGTCACCAGCTGTTAGATGGTCCATGGAAGGGGTGGTTGGAGGATTCAATAAAGGACTCTCCCAACTTCATATCCATTCCTCCCACTCTTTCTCTAACCAACTCTGGACTGGGCTCTGCTGATAACAGTATAGTGGGAGACAAAGTGAGAGGTCAGACATAGATATATTGAAGTCCAGCCATGCGTAAGGAAGTGGAGGGATAAATCGCTCCATCTTTACATCAAGGAAAAGAAATGATTCATTTTAAAACAAAAATTCTGAATAATAAATGGCATTACTCTGCTATTGCACTGGAAAGTGTAACTACATTCAAGTGTAATGGAAGGCTCTAAATTCATTGTGTGATATATAACTCAAATTAGTTTATTAGAATTAGTTTATTCTTTGACTTAAATTCTGTGTTCTGACTTGATTACATTTCTGGAATATATCTGCTCTCCAAGAAATTGTCTATGGATAATATTGTCACCCCCAAATCAATTGGAATGTGCCTGTCAAATAGTAGAGGATGAGCCTCCATTCTTTACAAGTGTAGCTGACTTTAGTTTTGTGCAGAAAGTGCAAGCCCTGTAATTCCAAATGGCTCGGTTTAACAGTAAAATGGTCATGCTACTTCTAAGTGGTCATGTTTTGTTGTTCAAGGCCTCTGGGAATATACAGCATTTCCTCTTGATTGTAATTATAATTGTCGCCACAGGAGGGTGCCTCATAATTACAGTTGCATTGTCTCTTAGCAGTTGTCTTTTTCGTTTTTTCTTCACTGAATTATACTAATTTTAGAAGTAGGTATGGTTGTCATAAGATTAGTGCATTTGAGATATCAGATGTTTTATACTTGGTTTAGTTGATAAAGAGGTAAATAACAGACCAAATGCATTCTTTTAATGGTTTCTAGTTAAATAATAATGATGAACTGAGTGGGAGCACTCTCTCCAAGCATACATAACTCAGTGGATTTAAAGGTTAAAAACAGTCCACGCCATGGGCTGGCCTTCTGCTGACCACCCATGTATTTGATATTTTCATTCACTCAGATTCTAACCTGCACTTTAAACCAGATATTATTTGATTATGTAATTAACAGAAAACTGAACAATTTAGTCATTGAAGTAATGTTTTAAGCAAAAATGTCAAACTGAAAACTGACAGTTTCAGTTTTCTGAGAATGTAATTTTTGACAGTTTGACTAGTCGGAAACAATTTGATTACATTTGCTTAGCATTCAGGGAATAATTATATGAGCATGTTTGAATAGTTTCTTACATTTTATACACTGACAATCAAATTGAATATTGAAAGAAGTGATATCAGCTGTATTTCATAATTGCTGGCTGTAGCTTCATGAAGTAATATATCATCCAAGGTCCTCTGTCTTAATTACTTGACACAAAATATGTAAGCAATTTCATAACTTTACAACAAAAAAGCCGATATAAACTACAGCAAAACAGTTAAGTCCCTCTGCAGTTGGGCTGCAATGGACAGTTGTGGATCAGGAGGTAGCGTGGTTGTCCCCCAGTCAAAAAGTTGGGGCCAAGATGCTGAACTCCTGGTGACTAGGCAGTGACTGACAGTTCCTGGCAGTATAATAAAAATTAAAAGCTGGAGGAGGCATCATAGTTGAATCTGTACTTTAAGTGGTACAAATCAGGGGTTAATCAAATGATGTAGACCCAAAAGATATAGAGTAGCCTGCATCCAGAGCCTCTGGGACCCAACTTTTGGCCATTGGTATTCAAACTTAGACTGCCCAATTGCACATGCAGCTATATTTATTTCTACAAAGATGGATTTAGGTTTATTTTGTTTGTAAAGACTTGTAGTAGGCTACCTGTCAACAACAACAAATAACTCATTAAGAGTGTGACGTGCTGGTAAAAGTAGAATAAATTAATTACGGTTTTAGGATGTCCCTTAGGGAGGATAAACGGTCCTCGGGGTCCTTTCATCATCGTTTCATCAATCAAGCATTGCAGCTCAGCGAGTGCGCGCGCCGTGCCCTGTCTGGTGAGCGGAGACTCAGACACGTCGTAGCGCGCCTGCCCAGACAGCGGCCTGAATGCCTGAGATGAGCGCGGGACGGCGGTGGTACGCGCGAGAGCTTGGCAGGGCCACGTAGCGGGGCTGAGTGCACCGGTGCGCAGGTATCTCTGCATCCCGTAACACACTTAAAACAAGTAATCTGGCACACTTTGCACAAAAACACCACTGGCATTGGCTTTTGTAAATGCAGATCCGCGATCATAGACGGGGGGGCGAGCGACAGAAGTGCGGGTGCAACCTTGAATCTGTGCAACTCTGATTGCATGAACGCAAGAGGGAGGTCGCTCTCGACGGAGGTAAGCCAGCAACCGACAACAAAATGCTTCTATTTACTTATTTTTCGCTCCTACCTGTATGACAAGTATGGAAGCTGTTGGGGAGCACGCACAGGTCACTGAGAGCCGCTGGCCGAAGCTACGGTGAGAACTGTCCGTGAGCTCAGCTAGCAGTGACTTTGTCACAGTGTCGAGTTGAGTGGATTTGTCAGTACAGCAGTCTGGGTTTTGTTAAGAAAGCGGCGCATTTCATCTTGCACGACAAGAAAAATACATTTATGACAAATCATGCCATCGGAATTTCCCCCGACAACTGTCACCCTTTCTCATTAAAGTGCAGTATCAAAATTAAGTGTAACGTTTATGCTAATTATCTGACGTTAATGCTAGCTTTAAGCTAACTAGCCCCAATCTTGGCCGTTTTGGGTTAAAAAAGTGAAAGTCGTGTATCTGCTTTGAGCTCATGCATGTCAGCAAATACCTTTAGATGGCAACGTTATAGCTTATGCAAGGTAATGATTGTTCTTCATGGCAAGTTATCTGCACAAAGATACTTAATGGCTGCACCTTGAGCTAATGTAGCCAAGTTAGCTTGTCATGTGTATGCAGGTTAGTATCTATGGAGTATTGCTAGCTAGCTAATAGCCTAAGTTGGGCAGGCCTGCACAGTTACTCTTGTTCGGTGTACAATACTATCTTTTTGTTTCAAACGGGTTTTTTTGCTTCATACACGCCTGAACGTCAACTGCAAGTTTTGTTGCTGCAAAGATGTAGGATTCTGAAACCAAAAAGTAGCTAATGCACCATCTCGTTATACTTCTCAAAAATATGTCTAGTGTTGGCTTCGCACTTTGTGACTTCGTTAGATGGAAATGGTAGACAAATTGCATCTAACCCTTCAGTTCGTATTTGGAGCATGTTTTGCATTATTTTTAAATGGTCTTAATTTGATGTTAAACATAAGTTATGCTCAGTGCTCCCATGTTATTTCTTCCCCTATTTAGAATCAGGGTATCCCAGTAGTAAACGTCAGTAGTAAACGTCAGTGGACTGTCTTCTGTAAGGCTTCTTCTCTCACTGTGTGGTGACAGACAGTAAAGAATCTGGGAGAGCCTGGGGCTGTTTTCACTTGATGTTACCACAGATGATTTATACCAGACTAAAATCACTAGGTACTGCTCTGTGACCCGATTTATGGGCTTGAGGGCCAAATACCTACAGAGACATGGAACCACCTCTGCAGTGCACAACACAGTGAGCTGGTTAAGGTCTTATGAGTTAGGAATGTGAGCCCTCACTCCTCTACAAACTGTGAAAGGGAAAGCTCCTTATAGTCTAGACTAGAGAGGGCAACATGGATTTCAGGAGCACTGCTACATAATACACTTTGCACTTTGGTCAGCTCTGGCTGTGTTAAATGTGCTATATAAATAAAGTTGATGATGATAATGATAAGAGGTAAACATGATATATTTTGACTTCTTCAGAGGTCTGCTTTACTGTTATAGTTCAGTGAAGCACTTCAGAACACTTGCACCATTTAGTGCTCTCAGTTTTAGAGTGTTGTATAGTGCCTTCGCAGTAACACTCCCATCCTGTCTCATTCAAATTTTAAACCTCAGTAGCATCTGTCGAGTACATGGCTGCCCTTGTGGCATACTCTGTATGAACTAAGTTTTGGTTCCTCATTTCAGAATTGTGATTGGAGTAGGTTATAAATTGGTAACTGTTTAATAAACTTTGATTTCTGTGAAAGTTTTTCTGGGCATGGTGTGGGTTGAGCTTGGCTGTCACACAGACATTCATTGATGCATTTTATTTTATTTTATTTTATTTTATTTTATTGCATCAGGGTGCAAAGTTCATGCTGCCCAAAAAATCCAGTCTCTGATTATCATCATTCTAATAGGGTTGACTTCCTAATCTGACGAGTTGATTGTGTAGACTAATTACCAGTGATATTGAGAAGTCTGTGCGCTACTTGATTCCCACATCAAAGGGCTGCATTATTTCACTGTGAGTGAAACTCTGAAATGACTCATCACTGATAATGACAAGCGAGTGGAAGGAGTTCCATTGCCTCACCTACACTGTGTGGTTGTTTATCTGCACATGTGTGTTTTTGACAGTGTTTGTAGTCAGTTTAGCACTTTTGCTTACTTTTATATTATAAATGGCAAATTATTTCAAGCTCATAAATATGTATTTTAAACATACTTGTGTTTTAAAGGGGGAGGGGATGGAACCAGCCCATAGCATTTAAGTCAGTTTCTGGCTTCACATGCAATTTTATATTCCTCTGTCACTTAGTTGATAATCTATCAGGCTTTGTGTTGAAGACAGCCATGCGAGCTAGTCTGACAGTGCAGAGCTCGCCCTCCCCGTGTGGTCTGAATGTTCTCAGAGCTGCTGTCCAACTCTCAGAAAGGATCAGCATCAGCGTGCAGAGGAAGACAGGTGTGCCTTGTATGTGCAGATAGTCAAAATCTGCATAAATGATTTCACTTGTGTTTGCAAAGACAGAGAGCAGATTGATGTATGTTTGTCTTTAATAAAAAACCAAGCAGCAACTTTTTTTTTTTAGATAAATATTGCCCTGGAAATGTTAAGAATGATGTTTTTGGCGGCTGAACCACAGACAACTCATTGTGATAAATATTTGTGGTCACAATAGACAAAATAATCAGCATTCTCATGTTTGCTGTACCATACACTGTAGCTTGATGCTTATCATGATGTGTGATTCCACTTCATTGCACACTCTCTTGCTCCTTTTTGTGGCACATGCAAACCCTTCATGTTAATCCTAACTGTAAATTAAAGATTAGAGCAAGGAAGCTTTCATGAGCCAGGTAGTGGGTGGTTGAATATGAAAGTTCCTTCAAGGTCTTTTAAGGGCTTCTTCGTAAACAGTGGGGCATATGTTGTTAAAAGAAATAAAGCAAAAGATGTTTGTGAAGACGCAAATGAGAAAATGTTTACCGTCTTCCAGAAAGGAAATGTTTTCTGCTACTTCCTCAGGGAGGTTTACTAGTCAACAAAACAACCCTGATGCATACTCATTATGAAAAGTAGGGTGTGTGATTGTTCAGTGTTAACCAACTGTCAGAGATACCCGAGCACTGAGTTAGCCAAAGGTCAGGAACGTTACAAACACCATAAAAACAAGGAGCCCACCAGAAAAAGGTTTTGTTGTAATGCAGTCTTTTTCATGTTTTATGTGTGCAAACACAATGTTAACTGTAGGCTCTGAACTGTGCAGTGCTTAGGCTTCATTGAAAGGTTAAAATACAGTTTCCTGTGGTTGGATTTGCAATAAAAGCTTCTAAGCTGTGGTTACACTATGCTCTCTAACAGTCAGTGGGAGCTGTGTGCACATGGGTGTGTGATGTTTAAAACAAAAGACAAGTTTATGTATAATCAGTGCTTTACTGTCCAGGTGGTGTGGATCTATTCCACATTTTTGTTAATTGTACCAAATATTACACCAGAAAGACATGCTGCACAGTTGTGAGATTTTTTTGATTGGTGCAATTATTTGTTTAGGATTCAAGATGTACTGTAGATTGCAGGTGATATCCTTGTATGTATGTTTACATATAATCTATTACATTTACCTTGAGCTACCAAACAAGGCTTAGGTAAACATATTTATCTGACTGTATATAAGATATTTGACATTTCTTATGCCTAATACTTCTGGAACAATTGTATTGTTTTATTTCCATTGTTGTAAATATGCTCTTAAATTAGCAAGATGTATAATAGTGTCACCATAGAAACCCATCCCTGCATTTTATTTTATAGCATGGTGTTTCTGTTGTGGTCTGGAAATACTGAGACTGCTCACTCACAGTCATTTGCAGAGGCTGTGGTTTCAACTCCTACACACAACACTGAAATGTTTGTGGGTTAATGTGGCGCTGAGTGTTATAAACTTCACAATATGGATGTAGTTTCAGTTCACACAGCGAAAGAGCCTTTTCTTATCTCATCTCTATTTCTCCCTGTTTCTTCTCTCTGTTAAATCATAGGTAATGCATGCTAAATGGCCCTAAAGAAAGAGACAGAAGTCCTTGCAGCAGTCCCATATCTGGCGTTCTGCTCATCGTTACCTGCTCTGCTGTTTGAAGACGCTGGCACCCTGAAGAGCCTTCAGAGAAACTGAATCTGATATCTGCCTACACCTCGCATAATAACCGGAGAGGAATTTAGCTTCAAATGTTCATCATCAAGGACACTGAGCCCTTTGATTTTGCAGTCTGATTTTTAATTCTATGAAACAAAGCATAGAACAGATTGTATGTCTTTCTCATTGTATTTACTACCCTGGACAGCATGGATGCTCTTTTTGAATCAGGTTGACTGTTTTTCACCTTATCCCCTCCTTCCTGTCTCCTCAGTAGAAGGAGGGTGGGGGATTGGTGGGGCGTCCCCTGCCTCTCCTTGTAGAGTAGGCTAGTCTAACGAGGCACCATAGCAGTGACTCTCTTCCATTTTCCTAGCGCTCCCACCAACTCCATCCCTCCATCCCCTGTCCCTCTTCATGAAATCCTGCCAGAGCCTCAAGGAAGAGGTTTCCGTCCCTGGCCTTGGCGGGATGTCACAGGAGGAAGGACGCAGGGCACCAGTGTCCCAGTCCTATTTTCATTCCCCTAACCCAGATCTCGACCTGACAGGCAAGCTTTATAAGCGGGAAGTTGGTGGCAAACCTTATTCTGTGTTAGTGGACAGTAAAATGGCAACCAAGACATCCATGGGAGATCAGAACATCAGTCCCACCCAACATGTGACACCACAGCAACATCAGCAGTATTTCAGAGAGGGGGGATCAGGGCAGGAGGTGGGAACGCAGGGGTCCCAGGCTGGCAACGACGGCACCTCTGACGAAACTGAAGATGATGACGAAGATGAGGATGGTGAGGATGAGGATGGTGAAGAGGAGGGCTTCAAGCGTGAACAGATTATTGTCGAGGTTAACCTGAACAACCAGACACTTCATGTATCCAAGGGCGACAACAAAACTGGAACTTCAGTAGATGACTCTGAGCGAGCCGGCAGCGACGAAGACGACGAGGAGGAGGAGGAGGAGGAGGAGGAAGAGGAGGACAGCCCCGATGATGAAGAGGAAGAAGATGATGAGGAGGATGAGATTGAGAGTCGAAGAACAAGATCAAAGAGGGCTCGTCGGGGTGTTAGTAGTGCAGTGGCCCCCAGCCAGCCACGGAGGAAAAGTCTCAGAACAGCTCTGAGCACTGCCACTGCTGGAATGACCACTAGGGGGCGACAGAAGTGCACGGAGCCTCCAAAGAACAAGCGCAGATCAGCCAGGACAGCACCATCATCTGCCACTTCCACAACCACAGTGACGGGAGGGAAGGCAGAGCTGGAAGAGAAGGAGATGCTGGCCTGTGAAAAGTGCCCTCGAGTGTTCAACACACGTTGGTACCTGGAGAAGCACATGAATGTCACACACAGGCGAATGCAGATTTGTGACAAGTGTGGCAAAAAGTTTGTACTGGAGAGTGAACTGGCCTTACACCAGCAGACTGACTGTGAGAAGAACATCCAGGTAAAGCAAACTTCTCCGGTCTCACAGTTGCACACTGTAACAATGCTCTAAAACGTCTTAAGAGTTGCTTTTGTTGCTGCCAGATTTTGTTTGGTTGGTGACATTAGTAACAATAACAAAACGGAGGTAAACCTGTCTTTATTATAATTTTCACTCCTCTTTCAGTTTCTAAGAAACTGAAAATAGAGCAGACTCACCTTTGAGTGTGTACATGATCACAAGTGAGGTTGGCACTTATTAAGCAGATGAGATGCTTGCAAATACTACAGTAATAAGTTATTTAGAAAATGGTTTAAAAATATCAAAATTTAAAAATATTATAGGACAGTCTAAATCTGTCTTGAATATGCTGACTTCAAAAGCTGAACGTCTGTGTAAGACCAGCCGATCTAAGCACCGGGGTTCATGGTTCAGATGGGAGATAATGTGGCCAACACTGTTTGCCTGGTGTTTCACCAGTTTCATGGAAGTGGATAAGAGAAAGATGCTTTTGGGGGGGAAAAAAATCACAATATCTTGTCCAGTGTTTAGTATGAGTCATGTGGCAGATTCTAAAATAACTCAGAAGAATTTTCTTTAATCGGTATCTGACATCCACTGTTACTGAGGAAACATGACCAGGTCCATGCTGCCCATTTAACTGAGAATCGCATCAACAAGCGAAATTAGCATTGGTGAAATTCACACACCCTCCCCCCAAAGTCTAAGTTTATTTGTGTGCTGAGCCTCATAAAACATTTCAGCAAATTCAGTTCATGCTGATTTTACTCCAGCAGAGGGAGCTGGAGTATAAGAGAACAGTTTTAGCAAACTGGAGCTATCTAATGGCTATCGGGGTTTTGCTGCTCATGATACCTGTCAGCGACATTAGACACATTCTTAATGTTTTTCTCTGCCTTCATGTGTTTTTCAGTGTGTCTCCTGCAACAAGTCTTTTAAGAAACTTTGGTCACTGCATGAACACATTAAGATTGTGCACGGATATGCAGAAAAGAAGTTCTCGTGTGAAATCTGTGAGAAGAAGTTCTACACTATGGCTCATGTCCGTAAGCACATGGTTGGTAAGTGGGGCCTCCTTTTTTTTTTTATTTATTTATTTTTTTTTATTTGGCACTTTCCATCTTGCTCACCTTAATATTCAGAATTAGATATTTCCCTGGTGTATTTCATGACTGTTTTAAAAGTATAGCTTTTTTTTGTAGGATTATTAGGTCTTTTGGTAATTTCTGTTGATTAGTTTGTCGCAGTGTTTAGCGCTGTTGTTTCATAGCAAGAAGGTTCCGGGTTTAGGGCCTTTCTGTGTGGAGTTTCCGTGTTCCCACACAAGCACAGGGAGTTCTCTCCGGGTACTCCGGCTTCCTCCCACAGTCCAAAGACATGCTGCTTAGGTTGATTGGCGACTCTAAATTGCCCACATATATATGCGCAGTGAAACCTTGGATTGCGAGTATAATTTGTTCCGGCAACGTGCTTGTAATCCAAAGCACTCGTATATCAAAGCAAATTTCCTCATAAGAAATAATGGAAACTGGGATGATTCATTCCACAGCCACATATCCATATAAAAATGATTACAGTAATACAAAATACAGTATAAAGTACAAATAAAACAAATTAACCTGCACTTTACCTTTGAAAAGAATCGTGGCTGGCATGAGGGGCCGTTATTGCAGTACCAATGTTGACTACGATTGAGGCGCGAGAAGCATCGGCTCAATTGTGACGTGACTCTCAGCAGACAAACCGTACGTACTACTCATATTGTGAGACCTGGCTCGTTTATCGAATCAGAATTTTTGCTCGTCTTGCAAAGCACTCGCAGACCGGGTTACTCGCAATCCAAGGTTCCACTGTATCCCAGTTTGGGTTGCATCAGGAAGGGCATCTGGCGTGAAACGTGTGCCAAATGTATACATGTGAACGGTTGATTCACTGTGGCGACCCCTAACGGGAACAGCTGAAAGAAGTAGTAGTAGGTTGTCACTTGAGAATTAATGGAGTTGACACATTGGTAAAATCTATCAAGCAGTAAAAATTGTCAAGTTTAGTATGTTATGTCTGGTTGTGTAGTAGTATTCTTTATTCTTACACAACGATTCCATTTAAAAGCATGTTACTTGATCAAGTGTATGCAGTTGTCTCAGTACTGTCCTCTTTCTTTCTCTCTCTCTCTCTCTCCCTCCGTGTCTTTCCCCACACCCAGCTCACACTAAGGACATGCCATTCACCTGTGAGACATGTGGGAAGTCGTTTAAACGTAGCATGTCTTTAAAAGTTCACTCACTCCAGCATTCTGGAGAGAAGCCCTTCCGCTGTGAGGTAAGATACACTGTGGCCCTGTTATGTCATCACAGTCTGTATGGACATACAAATTGGGTTCAAATGTCTTTGAGACAGATTGCAGTTGACAGCAAGTACAAAATGTGTCACAGCTGCATTCACAATGACTGTGTGATCAGATTTTTGAATTGCCTCTGTGTGTTAACTACATGTTTTCTTGTCCAGCTAGCAAACCAACTACAATGTTGTTGCTGTTTTCTCTGCCGCCATCACAACACCAAAATATTATAATGTCCTCCAGTGTTGTCATGGATCCTGTTTACCTTATGCTAAAGAAAAGTGGAAAAGGGGGATGTTCAGTTTTTTTTTTTTTTTTGCCAGGGTTGATTAGTCTATAACCTGCCCCCTAGTGGATATACTGTTTAAATCTCCAGATAAACCCAGAGTGCACAGGCAGGTATATGAGCAATAATACAGCCGTTGTATGCTCATACAGGTCAGTTACAAGGCCAATATCAGCAGCCTAAGAACAATTTTAGACCTGAATGGGGCTTGTTTTGTTTTTTATTTTTGTTTTGAACCAATATACTGTGAACATACCATTGTAATGGTAATTCATTATCATTAGATGTTATTTGTTATAAACATGCTCATTAGTTTGAGCATCTTTGGTGTCTGGTTTGTGACCAATCCAAAACGGTCAGCTATGTTCAGCCAGTGGTTTTCTGACAAGGTTTTCCTCCTGTATTTTCAACATTCATTGGACTGTTATGTTGTAGAGAGAAGCTAAAGTCAAGCCATGACAAATATTAGCAAACCACACATAAACAGTGTTCACCAGTTAGCAGGAACACAAGATAAATCTAGAACTGACTGTCCAGTGTTTAGGAGCTTTAAGCCCACCTTTTGCATGAATGCATTTTTACATTGTCCATCAGGACTTCCAAGCTTATTTTTTGCTCAAAAGTTATGAAGAATTGATGTTATCCATTATCTGACTCATTAACTTTACAGGACGTTGGCAGAACGGGTGCTTTACTCCCACCAGAGGCCATTTATGTACAGCCAAATCATGTTCCCTGCACATATCCGTGGAGGGCCTCTAATTAAATGTTTCAAGTCATCCTACACAAACATGTGATTACATGCTTATTAAGGATGCATGTAATGTGTAGGTCATTCTCAGTGGTCTCACTCAGTGGTCTCACTGTGTAGTGAAATATTAAACTGCTGGATAGTTTTTCCACAAACATTTATCTATCAGGTATTCCTGAGGCTATTATAAACATCTCACTGCAGTAAAGACTGGGGGGTATTCTTCGTGTGTCACTAATGCCATCTAAAGTTATCTGGATATTTTGGTTTGTCAAACCTTCACCTGTGTTGTGGAAAAACTGGATTCAGTGTGCTTTTGTGGTCAGTGCCTAGACCATACATAATGACAGCTGAAAACATGATCAGCTGCTTTCTGATTGGCTGCACACAGATGTCTATCACAGCCACAGAGAGAGAGTTTCTGATAGAGGGATACAAGGAATTTAAAGATTTTATTTGCATGTAAATACAAAAGCAGAACTCTGCAAAATGCAAAGAGAAGTGGCTGACAAATTAAACGTATGAGTATCCCGTTTAAATACTTAACATTGCCACATGTCCACTGCTTTGATATGACAGCTCAGTTTGTTAAATGCATAAATGGTAATCCGGTGCACCGGTATGCTTATACATCCAACAGTGTGACAAATTGGTTAAAGGGAATTCAAGTGCACATAAGAGATGTCTAGATCATCTTCATTTATTAATTGTTTAGATGATTAACTTGTGTGTGCTTAAATTCCTACTACTTTAAATAATCTCTGCAGGCTAAGTAGGCTACAAGAATATTCTGCAAACTGGTATCACTGTAACGTAGCCTGTTACTTTTAGTTCTGATGCATTATTATTAGTTTTTCTTCATAGTTTTGCTTCAATAATTAAATGAGTTTTTAAATCCAGTCTATTTTCCACATCTAGTTATTACAGCACTTCTCAGTCTGCTTTTTTCTTTTTTTCTCTCATCTCTCTCCCCAAACTCGTGTCCTGTTATAATCGCTCCGATGTCAGTGAGTTGCTTCCCGCTCTGAGGCCCTTTTAAATCAGTGAGGTTATCTTGTTTACACTGAATAAGCCTGAGAATTAATCTGCTCCTGAGCAGGTTTGAGATTACGAACATGTTGCCACAACAAGTCCAGCGAGACTATCCTGATCTGTTGGTTCATTGATAAAGTGAAATTGTCAACAAAATGTATCTGGTAATCCACCTACGTATCAGGTGATGGGAATAAGAGAAATGTGTTAAAACAGATTTTGTGAGAAATCAGATTCTTGGCTGCGTGTGTCGTTTTTCTGGTTTTTTTATATGCAAATGAAACGAAATGTCATTGTCACTGTTCTTGCAAATCTGACTAGTTCCAGCAGCTGGTTTGTTTTGTGTATCCAGAGTAGACTATGTACAGTTGTGACACCACTGTAGGTGCAGTGTACATACAGCTGTAAAGCTCAGGTATCTTGTACATGTGTACTTTTTGAGTGGTCTCCTAAACCCTAATGATTGTTTTAAACTTGTAAAGGGAAATATTTCGGTTTCAAACCACTTTCAACAGGTTAGCAGGTAGAGAAAGAATATTATGTGAAATGCCTTCTAATTCAGAGCTTTGGGTTCCATGTATATTTGCCTGTTTTTGTGTACTGTACATACCTGTGTGCTGACCTAGTGTGTTTATCTGAATGACTCTGTGTCTGCTGCAGAACTGTGACGAGCGTTTCCAATACAAGTACCAACTGCGCTCCCACATGAGTATTCACATCGGACACAAGCAGTTCATGTGCCAATGGTGTGGCAAAGACTTTAACATGAAGCAGTATTTTGATGAGCACATGAAAACACACACAGGTGAGAAGATATTACTTTTCATGGACTAATCAGGTCATGTTTTTGGGCTGTTGTTGCTCTGAAACCTTTTAGGAAGTGAGAAACTTGACCTGCTTTTTAACTGCAGAAACCCAGTTCCTCTTTTAAAGCCCATTTCCACAAAGCTGGAAGGCTTTACATGTTTACACAAGCTGTTAAACTTTACCTGCCCATTGCAGTTATGTTCCAGAGACTGCAGTTTACTGATGCAACAACATTAACTGAGACAGTTTGAATAGAGAATTAATTCAGACTTTAGGCAACCACTTGTTGCTAGTTTCAATATTTGTCCTTGGGTTTGGAATTTTACTGACGTTACTGCAGCCAGCTTTCTATCCAACCTAACAGGGCCAGGAAAACACAAAGTGAAGGATTGAGACTATAAATATGTTGGAAATGGCATCGCGCCTTTTCTCATCTTTTCAATCTCCCCTCCTGTATGTATACTTCTGCTTTGCAGCAGTTATGTAAATATCACACAGTTGTGTAGCAGTCAATTAAAATAAACAGCAAGATGACTGCTGCTGTTGTTGCAAAACTTGTGTTTAATGCAAAGGGTTTTCTTTTATCATTCTGTTTTTCTTGATGTGCATTCACAGTTCTATGGACAAAAATAAGTATATGAATGCAGAGAGTGCCTATAGGACTTCCTGATACAAATCGAGGCGTCTGTTTTGTTGAAAAAGCTCAATACATTTTTTTTTTTTTTGTCAGATAAATCTGACTGTTTTTCAGGAGCTTCTTTATTGTTATAAATAAAAGAATAACTGGGAGTATTTGCAGTGCACAACATCTTGTGCTCATGTCGGTACAGAGCGCACACTTGGTGTACCAAAACGCATTGGGAAAAGGGAAAACTACGACCCAAAACTTAAAAGATTATTAGCCAATGAGGTACTTACTGGCTACATGTTGTATGTACTGCGTATGTGTAGCCTTTCCAACCCACACTTGAAAAAGAACTGCCATGTTCAGTAGGACTGATGTAACAGATGATAAATCATATGTTTTAACTTGACGTATTTTAACGTATAAAGTTCTGGTTGGAAATACTGAGCTTTCATTGTTTTGGTGGACTCCGTGAAGAGTTTTACACATGTGGCTCCAAAAAAAATAGCCTTGAAACTAAAAATAGGCTTAAAGGTCTTGTCTAAGTGCCAGCAATACACACAAGCAGTATAGACTGTTGGGCTGATTAATATCACAGCTTATTGGTTGTTTGACAAATGTGACTGAGTCTCCTCAAAATCAAGACTGTAGTTGTATGGAGTGGAATTGGTTAGGCTCTATTCTGGCCAATACCTATCCTGTGAAATATGCTAGGATTGGCGCTCATACTTGGTATTGCATCAGGACATCTCTAGTTTAGAGATGAAAACACCAAACAACCATGTTCATGGGCTAGATCAGTTAGTCAGCCTCCATGCTCTCCCTTAAAAAAAGAGAAGACATGGGATGTCGCCAAGATGAACATCTTGGCGGTAAGAGCAAGGAGACTTCGCCCAGTTGTGGTAATGAAAGGGCTGTTTTACATCAGAGGAGCCTTGCATATATTGTGGCTTATAATGACTACCCAGATACAGACTGTATTACATCCTCCTGATTTTCTGCCCTTGCTGCAGTGCTATTTAAGACCAAGCTGAAAAGTGAAGCCTGTACATCTTGCTTTTCCTCCACCCGTGCTTGTCGTGGGTTGAGACACTGTTCTCCGTTGGCCCTCACAGTTCTATTTGTGATCTGTAATTACACTACCTTACCCTCTACTCTCCTTCAGGAGGAGACACACCCAGTCATACCCTATAATAGACAGCACACATGTTAAAACACCCAAAATGTGGTTCACTGCACACAGATTTTTCACGAATTCTTGCCAGTGTAATGTTACAGAATACCAGCACATAACCTTTTTGATATACAGTTAGTTTGTTGGAGCTTTGCACATAACATGCCAGAATAAGGTATTTGGAGAGCCCTTCAGCAGCCTGCTAATAGATGGCTGTGTGGGTGGTAGCAGGCACATTCAGTGGCTCCATGGAGGGAGGTTAAGAGAGCGTCATTCCAACTGAGATGCTGTTGTACACTTGCACATTTTGCCTCAAAGTGTGAATGGTAATAGCTTCCTGCAGAACGGGTGGGTTGACAGTAAAGGCCCTCAATTGAAGATGGCAACTTATTAGCATTTTGAAAAGAAGACTGCTGCTCTCTGTAATGACAAATGGCTAAAAGCTGGGGAAAATTAACTGCCATTATTCAGCTGATTATGTAAAATCTCACATTTGACAGCAGCAGATTAGACTCTGATGCATCATTGTTTTCTCTGTAAAGCTACAGTCGTTTTTCTTAACTGATACAGTGTCTGTCTCCATCATACCTTTTGTCTCTTTTTCTGAATCTGCGCAGGAGAGAAGCCTTTCATTTGTGAGATCTGTGGAAAGAGCTTCACCAGCCGGCCCAACATGAAGCGCCACCGTCGCACCCACACAGGGGAGAAGCCCTATCCCTGCGAGGTCTGTGGTCAGCGCTTCCGCTTCTCCAACATGCTCAAAGCACATAAAGAGAAATGTTTCCGGGTCACCAGCCCTGTGGTTCTGCAGACCAGCAGTCCACCTGTGCCTGTCCGCATCTTTGCCAACACCTTCTCCTCCTCTTCCTCTAACTCTGGCCCTGGCCCATCAGCCGCCACCCCAGCCACCACCTCAGCTTCCCTGGGCCTCACGCCAACAGGAGGGTCTATAGCTTCACGAGGCCCTGTAGGACACGCATTCTCCCATGTGCAGCTCCATTCAGCCCCCTCTCACCATCACTCCCACCCCCCGACAACCCAGCAGCATCTCTCAAACACACCCCAACATACCTCACCTCACACACACCATCACCTGGCTGTGCCCCCAGTTTCTCACCTGCCCCCTCCCCCTGCCCTTTTCAAGAGTGAGCCCCTAAACCACTGTGGGCATGAAGACAGCAGCTACCTGCACCACATGCCCCCACCTGACAAGGGTCCAGGAGCCCCACAGCACCACTGAACTGTGCTTCAGCTCTGCACACCCACACCAAACCGCGCCTTGTTCCTCCTCCTGTCATAGTCCTGCCTCAGTCTCTCAGTTACAAGGGCGTTCCTCTCAGATTTAAATAAGTCGGATTAAACATACACACCAGTGTATGTATGAAAGATTCACCCTCAGTACATGTATCATTTAAAAAACCTGGTGAACTGACAGAGCTTTTACAACCTCCTACGTCTTTCCTTCCTGAACTCTTTCTTAGGAAACCGATGTAAAAGATTTCCGTGCAACCTGTACGTCGATGGGTGTAAAGTATCTCCTTTTCATCAAAAGCTGCTGATGAAATTCATGTATGTATTACCTGGGCTTCACAGACCATTAAATATCAGTGTCACTGGATGTTGCTCTTCAAGGCAAGTAGACTTTTACAGTATGGTTGCACATTGGTCCGGACCTTTGCTTTCAGGTCCTCCCCATAGCAATACTCAGCCTCTCCTTCGAGTTGCACTGCAGAGCACCAGGGCCAACGGAAAACTGTAAATGAATGTTGTAACTGGTTCTACCTGAGATGTGCTCTGCCTTAAGGCTGAGGCTTTTTGTCAGAGGAGCAACAGCAGTAGTGCAAGATGCAGTGCCATAGGTGACAGAAAGAAGGGGAGCAGGAATTTTTCTAAAGGACATTGGGAAAAGGTTTTGTAAATGATTAGCGGAATCTTGACATAGTCTGAGATTCCTATCATGTTTAAATGGTGCTTTCCATTCCAATACATGAAATATTTCTTAATTTTGCTCTTTCCTTTAATTTTCAGAAGTGTAATATTACAGAAAATGTATTGTGTCATACAGAACATGTTGTGTCAGCCTGGCTTTTCTACAGTGGATTTCAGGTTTGACTAGATATTTTGTGATTGAGAAACTCAAGTTATGCATGACATGTTCTTGGCACATGCACCCTCACACTTAAGCACACGCAAAGAACATACATGGTCACTACCTGTTGTGATCAGTGCAACCTCAGCTTTCAGTACTGTTGGTTTGACAGATGCTTTTCGATTAACAGATGACTGTCAAATACTGCCACTGTGAGAGGCCAGACACATGGCCCCCATCGGGATTTACCCCACCTCCCCTTCGCTGCTGTCCAAATGATACGGGTTGCCATGTTAGAAGTCATTCAACACACACAGTATACACACCCGGGACTGTTTTCATCACAGTTCTTAACAGTTAAGCATATTCCTCTTAGCTCTTAGGCTCTATTCCACAATTTGGTTTGGGACATTGTTGTAATGTAAAAGTTTTTTTTTTTTTTTTTTTTTTTTTTTTTTTTTTTTTTACTTTCAGCATACTGACACCCACACAGGCAAACGTGTGTCTAAACCTGTTGAATGTTGCCTACACAGAATGACTGAGGTCATTCATGTTATTTTTTTATGTTCTCTGATAGTTTGCTCAGTTTTAAGCTAATGAATGGTTCTGTAATGTAGATATACTGTTGTTAGCACATGATAGGAAATGCCAGGATAAAAGGCAGTGGTCATCCAACTTCTAATACTTGGACTAGTTGCATAGATAAGCATCCATGTAATCAAGTCAGCGCAAGACATTATATCATAGCCGTGTGAATGTTACTTGTTTAGGAGGAGCAGAAATGGTTGCTAAGTATTTTGCATGAACTTGCGTAGCTTAGTTTAGCCAGCCTGATGGCGTGTTCAGGTGGAACTCTGAGCTTTGAGTGTGTGTGTGAGTGCGTATGTGTGCATGCATTAGTTTGATCTGTTTGATCGTCCCCAGCGCACTTGTACCAAAAGCTGCTTTTACACAGTGTGCCCCAATATATGTGTATGTGGGGGTAGCAGTAAATGTAATATGATCCTTTTTGTACCACTCTGATGGTATTCACTCTGAAGCAACTAAGCTCGGCAGTTGGGGATGTCCCGTTTTCTGATGAGACCTGCAATTATCCTGCCATTTCTGTGGGTCTTAATGCCACTGCGTTATTTGCTTATCATTCTGTCCCTCGGATTCTCTGCTCTGCTTCATTCATTTTGCAGTATGGATCTTTGTCTTGTGTGTTTATTTAAAAAAAAAAAAAAAAAAAAAAAAAAGCCTTTTCATTTGTGTCTATTCTCTGCACTTTACTGCTGCGTGGGTGAAGCGCAGGGAAGGGAGGGAGTGACAATGCATTGTGGAACAGAGTGCAGCTGTGGCTGCATGGCAGAGGGTGAAGGTGATTACTTTGAGTTGATGTTTTTTGGCAAGGAAAGGAGGAGAATTTTGGGTGGAGGCAGGTAGTGTGAAGGGGACCATAGCACACGAAGAACATTTCTTTTAGTGTATACTTACTTTTTTTGGAATAAACGTTTGCTCTAATATGGACCTGCCCTTACAGTGAAAGCAATGTTCCTCTTGCTATGGTGACTTTACACTATCCCCCTCCAAACTACGTCTGAGATGCATTATTCTGTTTGTTTTATGGAGCTTTCTTCTCCGTCATGTCCTGATCTTTCAGTTTGCCGAACTCTCCTCCTCCTTTCTTTGTTCTATAGAGTGCACTTTCTACTAAAATTCTTGGCTAGTTAAGAAAAAAAATAACATTGTATATTCTTTAAAGATGTTTAAAAAAATCAATATACTTTTTTCCCCTTTGTATTTTTAACCACTTAATGTAGCATTGTGTATTTTATTATTGTATCTGGTACAAAATGTGCAGCTTTATAATGTCCTGTTTTGTCTTTTTTTTTTTTTTTTAATGTGGAGATTGAGAAGTGAAAAGGTTGGGCCTTTTTGATAATGTACATTTAACTGACTGCTAACTTTGACAAGTAAAAACAGGTAGCCATGATTGTCACATTTGTTTGCCTCTCTAATGTCGTATGCTGTTGCTTTACTGGAAACGTAAGACGGGTTTTAGAATTTAGAAAGTAAGGACTGTGCGCAGCCTGTTTCTGCTTTGAAAAGCTTAAATTCAAGGCGACTATTGCAACTGCAGACCTGAAATGTTTGAATGCAATGTATCTCTTTTAGGGGTCGTGAGGTTTTTGGCCAAACTCCTGTTGCCAAACACCATCTGCTAGTTCAGGAGGCTTAACAGTTGATTACTTTGCTTTTTCAAAAATGTTTCTTTTAGCAGACAAAACTTTTTAAATGGAGGTAGTAGGATTGTTAGGTAAAGTGTACCTTCAGTCTTTTTTTTTTTTTGAGACCTATATGTCATACTTTTACATATGGAAGCGAATAGTGAAGAAATTGATTACTTGGTCCAATTACATGTCAACGTTCACCCTTTCCTGTATCCTGTTTTATTCCTCCGTTACCAGTGTGCCTCCTTTCAGGGTGCATTAAGACATTTGCTGTTGCTAGAATACCTCCTAAAACGCTGTGTGCCCTCTGTCACCATAGGCGGTTTTAAGTGGCTCGCAGTGAGTCACGTAATCCTATAAGGTAACAGAACGGGCTGATGGGTAGAGAAAAGTGTGAGTGACTCACTGATATTGAGTGGGTGGTCAGGTAGCGAGGCTCACTTCATGAGCAGAGGAGATAATAACACGCCGTCAGTACATCTCCATACCCATTTGGGTTTGAAAATAGTCAGCCACCCCAGCTGTTAGTCATTATGCCTTGTGGTGTAGAGGAGGGAGGAGGCTGTGTCTGTCAACGGGCAGATAAGGAGAGGAGGGCTTCACCCTGTGTTTTTTCAGACGTGTGTTCGCTGCTCTGAAGGTTCCTGTGCGGTTCATTAAGCACAGTGTATTCACAGGGCTTTATCTAGACTGTCTTGTGGGGAAACAAGCAGCCAAATGAACTCCCTCACTGTGATGCTAATGTCTCACTGTAGATGGGGGCATTATTTCAGATTTGAATTGGTGTATTACTTTTGATAAACTTTATTCTACTCAGCTTCTCAAATGTGATACAGCTGTGTCCCCATTCCGTTTCCCTTACAGTAGAGGTCAGAGGTCAGTTACAGCTTCAGAGCAGAATGAACAATTTTCTACTGAAGTAGGAAGAAATCTTTTGCATCAGGCCAACTGATGGTGTTGAGATTATTCAGTTATTTTCCTGTTTACTGCCATGCACGGTGTTGTCCCAGACATCAGGGTCCAAACACCACTTATAATACACAATGTAGCGATTTGATCTTGTTCCATCGCTATTGTTCCTTACTCCTTTTCCGCCCACTACGCTCCGTCTCCCGTCTCCACTTCTTCTCTTGGGAGTATCGTGAACGCGCTCAGTAGGCTGCTATTAAATGGGCGGACTTCGCAAGCGCGCTCACGTCCACAGCGCTCCGGTTGGCAAATAAAAGTGCACTTCCAACCGGCCGGTCGGAGGACGTCTGTCTCTGCTCTCTGAGACCGGATCGGGGATCGGAACCAGCGCCGGTGATGCATTTATGCTTTTATTTAAGCAAAAATGATTAATTTGTCTTTTGTTCGCTCTGTCACTGCTGTAGATGATATGAGCAGGTTATATTAAATGATAGGATTCGTTGACGTTTTGATGTTTTCGTAGACATTTGATGATTTTTAAATCTTCAGTGGAATTTCTGAATAAGCCTCTTGCACTGTGACCCACTTCTTGTACACAGTCTGTCATTGTAGCATTAAGTTATAAAATTAATGTAAGGGCTATTGAGTGACCTTGATAGGTTATGTTGCTGTTAAAGTAGTGGGCTTGCACTTGAAGTCACGCTGATTTCTTGTTGTTTGACCCCATAAAAACAAAACCACCCGTAGCCACGGCTTGAAGGTGCCTGACTGGGTCGAGAAACAGGTGACACAGCGGACACCCACGACAATCGGAGGTATGCAGGCAGCAACATGCACACGTCCTGTGTGATAATTTGGTGAAGTACCGTTGGTTGCTTTTTTGGTCATTTACTTAGAGAGCATACAGGGACTTGGCCATTAATTCTGAAATGGACAAAATCCCTGTCCTTCACTCCTTACCTCCTAGAAAGGCCTTCACATTTCTTCAGAAAACCATGAGTTGCTGCTGAGTGGCCGCTTTGCTCTCTTTATAGTCTATATAGCCTGATAGGTTTAACTTTTCCATTTATGTTTTCTATTTCTTGTCTGAAACCTATACGTGTTTTGCCCCCATTCCACCCACCCCTCGTCTATTTGTTGTTTCCCAGAAAGCCTCGACCTCGCCGTGGCCTGCCTGGTGTGTGATGCTGGACAGTGGGAGCGCAACAGAGGAGCTTTGATGCAACTTGGCTACAGTAAGAGGTAGTCAGTCATGGGGGATTCAGTCTTCAACTGCTGTTATGTCCCACCCCCAGGCAAGGAGGAGATCGTCGTATCCAGGCGCCCAGAGACCATGGCACCCAATTCGGCTCACATCTCCTCTGACAAGCGCTTTCTCATCTTCTTTGACTTTGATGAGACCATTGTTGATGAAACCAGCGACGACATGGTGGTGCAGGCTGCCCCGGGTCAGCACCTCCCGGACTGGCTGAAGGACACCTACCAGCCCGGGCGCTACAACGAGTACATGCAGCGCGTCCTGGCCTATCTGGCGGAGCAGGGCGTCACCGAGAGCGACATACGTAGCATCATGGAGAAGTTACCGGCCACCCCCGGCATGCTCACCCTCTTTCAGTTCCTCCGAACACGACCCCCGCAGGACTTCGAGGTGGTGCTGGTATCTGATGCCAACGCCTTCTTCATCGAGTCCTGGCTCCGGCGCGTCGGAGCCCGCCCGCTATTCCATCACATCTTCTCCAACCCGGCCACATTCAACAAGAACGGGCGGCTGGTACTGAAGCCCTTCCACTCCAGCGACTGCCCGCGGTGCCCTATCAACATGTGCAAGCAAGTGATCGTCAGGGACTACATAGCCCGCAGGACGCAGGAGCGGAGACGACCCTATCAGAGGGTCTTCTACGTTGGAGACGGAGCCAACGACTTTTGTCCTGCTCTCTCCCTCGGGCCCCGGGACGTGGCCTTTCCGCGACGAGACTTCCCCATGCACCGGCTGATCACTGAGATCCATGAATCCATGCCTGGGGAGTTCAAGGCGGTCACGGTGCCATGGGTGAGTGGGGAAGATGTGGTGCAACGGCTGAAGACGTTTGTGACAGAGGATCCCACACGGCGACAGAGAGGGGACAAAGGAGACGATTAAGGGGTCATTTGACACTTTGTCATATTCTCAGGCAATCAATCCCCGAAACTAATGTTCAAGGCAATAACATCATTTGTAGCTATTATATGTTAAAAAAAAAAGAGTAAATCGTCTGTCTGGCTGGTGCCTCGGTCCACTTCGCGTTTGGAGGTTACTTTAAAACATCACTAGGTAATTAATTATTGAGACCTGCCAGCGTTAAAGGAGGAAATCAATGACAAGTCCAGTGCTTTGTTAAATATAATGATGTAGAACTAAAGAGTATCACTTGAAAAGTTTTGAGGGAATTGGTCTATAGTTGTGTTATGCATAATGACAATAAAGATTCTTGACTTGACTTGTAATAAAAAGCCTATCTTTAACCTGCTTGTTATCCTTATAAATCGGAGTAATTATTTTAATAGCAACATTTTAAAATGTTAACCAAGTTACTGTTTGCTCTTGAATAGCGATTCTAAATATTTGCCTAGGAGCTTCACTTTTTTAAAATTATGAAATGTTCAAACAGAATAAGTGAAATCCGAGTAACCTGGTGGCAATGGGCATTCAACAGAACCTATGAAATGTGTCTGCTTGATTTGTTAAGTGTGTTGTCTTTCCTCTGTAG